CATTCGATTCAGCGACGTCGAATTACCTTTGTATCAAACTGTCGAGAACTTCTACCTGAAAGTTTTTCCTTCACCTCTTATTGACTGGGCTAATCATGACTTTCTCCTTTTTAATATTTTATGCGAAATATATGTTTACATACATATATACATATCAAACACAAAAGAACATTGATTCTAAAGTTTTACCTTGTAAAGCTCTATAGAAATTGGAACATCTAAAAAGTTGTATGAACGAGGAATAATACTTATATGTGTGTATATATATAAATAAAATATTATTAATATAGTATACGTACCACACACCCACGCAATATAGTCTATGATTCTATAAATTTTCCGATCACTTACTTAACTCCAAAGTGACTCATTCCTCTTAATAAAAAAAAAAAAAAAAAAAAATGAAGCTCGAAGAGATTTATTGATAAAATGGAAGGAGATGGACACGATAGATACGATACGATACAATACGATAGGACACGACAGACAGGCCACGCGTAACACCATTTAGCACCGTAAAGAATTGTGCATTACTTTCTCGCGAGAGGAAAGAGGATAGAAAATCGGTGTTCCCGCCCTTTCTCAATGCGATTAACACAACATACATATGCGTGTAATATGCATATGTATGTATATATATATAAATGTATAATATGTGTAATATTACGTAGGTAACGCGGGCGCGTGTGTGTGTAGAAGAGTAGTGCGCCGGTCAATCGGCGGGGTTGCTTGGTCGTTCTCGGCGAGTGGCAGCAGCGCTCTTCTACGTCACAGTCTATCGATTCTATTTTATACATACATAGATACTCTCTCTTTCTTCCTCTCTAGCTCGCTGGGACATCGCGCAAGCGCTTCTCACTTCGATTCACACACCGTTTCTCGTTTCACCTAACGTAAACACATAGTCCTCTCTATCCTATTTCTCACTTTACCTCAACATTTTTCCATTCTCTTGATCGTTGCCAGTCATCATCACATATACACATATATACTTATACATATATCCCTTCACCCCTCTCATCATTTTTCTTTTTGCTCTATAGTATTTATACATACGTCTTTTTTTTTCTTCTCTCCTCTCCTCCCTTCTCTTCTCGTTTCACCCCACCTCTTTTTACCTTACTCAGGTTCGGTACAAGTGAGCCTAGACCATCGACCTTTCTTTTAGCTGAGAGATACAATCAAACCCGGCTTTTAACGAGATCCGTAAACTGCCCGCGAAATACAATTTTACGTATCTCGGATTACCACCGCCAATAAAATTATATAGTGTGTGACAGTTCGAAAACAGTGCGAAGTAGGATTCTTCGGTCGGCACGATCGATTCTTCAACTTTTCTCGTAGGAAGCAACAGATTGTTGCGTACGCTTGCGAAACGTAATAGAGATGATATCAGAGATAATTTTTGTGTTTCTTTAAGAGAGATCTATTGAGGAACAAATTAATTAAAATGATTTAGTAAATGAAGTAGGAAAAAAGTAAAGGTGCTGTAGGATATCAGTAGCAAAGATTTTTAAAAGTATTAAAGGGATTGTACCTACGTAATTACGATGGTTCATGTAGGAGGTATTGGCCCTGCTATTGGGGTCATAGGTTTACCAAAGAGTCCTAGTTTTCATCAAGGTTTAGCTTTTGCCACAGTATTACCTCAAGAGCCTCATAAGTTTTATCCAGCAACATTTACTTTGCATTATCAACAACTGCAGCCTTTCGTAATTGGTAAAAATATCTAAAAGTATATTATTTTTGTAAACATATTTAACCAATTCTTGTTGCTTCATTTCAGAGACGCAACAAGGCAATGAAAGAGAAGAACTTTTCATACAGAAGTTACGCCAATGCTGTGTACTCTTTGACTTTGAGTCCGATCCACTGTCAGACTTGAAATGGAAAGAGGTAAAGCGTACTGCCCTTCATGAAATGGTTGATTATGTAACCAAAAATAAAAATGTTATTACTGAATTAATTTATCCAGAAGCAGTAAATATGGTAAGTTAAATATATATACATAATACATTGAAAAATTATAAGAAATTTATATAAATTATTTCATTTGCAAACTACTTCATTTTATAGTTTGCTGTTAATTTGTTTCGAACACTTCCACCATCTTCAAATCCAAACGGTGCTGAATTTGATCCAGAGGAAGATGAACCTACTTTGGAAGCAGCGTGGCCTCATTTGCAATTAGTGTACGAATTCTTTTTAAGATTGTTGGAATCTCAAGATTTCCAACCATCTATTGCAAGACGCTATATAGATCAGAAGTTTGTCTTACAATTACTAGAATTATTTGATTCTGAAGATCCACGAGAAAGAGATTTCCTGAAAACAACTCTTCATAGAATCTATGGAAAGTTTCTCGGTTTAAGAGCGTACATCAGGAAACAAATAAATAATGTTTTTTATCGATTTATATATGAAACTGAACACCATAATGGTATCGCAGAACTTCTTGAAATTTTAGGAAGGTAATATCACATTATTCATAAATCTTTTGAATTTGAGTTGAATGAGATGTATCTGATAAATTGAATGATGTGGCATATATTTATTGATTTTATTTATTCCAGCATTATAAATGGTTTTGCTTTACCATTGAAAGAAGAACATAAAGTTTTTCTTCTAAAAGTGTTGTTACCTTTGCACAAAGCCAAATCATTGTCAGTCTATCATCCACAATTAGCATATTGCGTTGTTCAATTTTTGGAGAAGGATCCATCTTTGACAGAACCTGTAATTAGAAATTTATTGAAATTTTGGCCAAAAACACACTCTCCCAAGGAAGTCATGTTTCTTAATGAATTAGAAGAAATTTTAGATGTAATAGAACCAGCTGAATTTCGTAAAGTACTTGACCCATTGTTTAGACAATTGGCAAAATGTGTCTCGTCTCCTCATTTCCAAGTGCGTTTCTTACTCCATAGCTTTGGCATCAAATATATTTGATTGCAAACATAGATTTATAACTTTACACCCTTTGTTTTAGGTTGCAGAAAGAGCCCTTTATTATTGGAACAATGAGTACATAATGTCATTAATATCGGAAAATTATTCCGTGATTTTACCGATTATGTATCCAGCTTTTTACAGAAATTCACGCAATCATTGGAATAAAACGATTCATGGATTAATTTATAATGCTTTGAAGTTATTCATGGAGATGAATCAAAAAGTATTTGATCAGTGTACTAATCAGTACAATCAGGTATATTTATAGTAAGAAAAACTAATATAAAACATTAATATTAATCGTACATATACATATATAATTGAATATTTTAACATATATAGGATCGTCAAAGAGAACGTAAACTTATGAAAGATAGAGATGAAGCATGGATGCGCGTAGAAGCATTAGCAATGAGACATCCACATTATAATATGGCAATTAATAAAAGTATGCCAAACATTCCATACAGCTTGACGCAACATTTAGATAGTCCTCCACCCGATGAGGATGGCGATCCGGATCAAGCTCCGCTCACTTTAGAAAAGATTGAAGCTAAGGCTAATGAGGTATGATATATTATTTATAATTATATAACTAGTTATATATATATATAGTAGATTTAAAATAAAATAATATTATGAAAATAATATTTAATATGATACAGGCGAAAAAAATAACAAATGCAAATTCAATGAAACCACTTTTACGAAGGAAGAGTGATTTACCACAAGACTCCTACACAATACGGGCTCTATCTGATCACAAGCGTGCTGACGAATATCTTGTAACGCCGCCTGATCCGAATAATTGCTAGTCCTTACCTTATTCTCTTCCGATGTACCCCCTATTTTGTTGTAGTAAAATCACAAGTTAGCTATTTCCGGGGAGATGGAAAAAAACGGCGATAACATATGTTGGCAGTGTCTGCCTTAGAGAGCCTTATATTGTGCGGAATCAATAACATTTAACGTATATTAGAATTTTGTTTGCTCGTGTTAGAGAAAATATCTTCCTCTTATATTCCCTTTAGATTAGGAAAACATGGAGATTCGCATGAAAGTAATAATGTCCATTTGATGCATATCCATATCAATTATTTTCTTTCTCAACACAGATCACTAATTTAAGAAGTTGTTAAAAAGAACAAAAAAAGAGAATATTTAAACTATGTAATGTGTTTGAGATAAAAATACGGTTAAAAAGGGCTCTAAATTCATTAGACATGAAATATTTAGCACAAAGATATTTAAAATGCTAGTGTATGCTACATGTGTATATATATATATATATATATATATATATATACATACACAAATATAGATGATATCACCGGTATAAAGGACATTATTAATGCTGTGGTTTTCATGAATTTGGTATATTCTAGAAAAGATTTTATACAAACGAGGATACGGAAGACAGAAGAAGCAGTATCATCGATAACGTTTACTCTGTGTTATCATTAAATTATGCTAAGCTAAGCGAGCTTGTTGTGTTAATACCTATGATAAATGAAGTTTTACGTTTACGTGTACATGGTGTAAAATAATCTAGATTATCGCTTAACACTTCCAGCTCGTATTAGAGCAGAGAAAACGCAAAACCTTATTACTTTAGAATGTATACGACAGTGCTATTTTAGGATATCAATCATTATAAATCCGGATACTTCTACGTGTACTACTATTACAATTAATACTATTACTATTACTATTATTATCACTACTATTACGACTACTTTTGTATCTGTTGTGCCTAGATACCTGTGGAATAAATTCACAGAAAAGCGCCTCTGCTCAGAATGATTGTTGTAAAAGACATTATAAGAGCCATGCGGCGAGTTACATTTTGCTTTTTGCTAATATCATTAATCGATAATCACAGAATTTTTGGATATAGCTTCTGTAATATCGTGTTTGTAAGCTCGTCGCACTTATTACTGTTAGATAAAAAAAAAAAAAAAAATAATAAGAAAAAAATGCAGAGGTTATTATGGCTAAAAGATTAATGAAATCTAACAAAATAGATAGAAAGAGCAAAAGAAAAAAAAGAAGCATAAAATAAAATACATTTTGAACTGTGCACTGCTGGCAGGCTGTTACGTTATTATCGATAAATCCGTTGTTGAACATATATAAGCGCTCGCGCTGAAATATTAGGAAGTTGATGCTAACAAAAAAAAACGCTATAAACTTATTGTTTCATTAGTTTTTTTTTCCGAAGGAATGGCCACTTTGTCTAATGTTTATCGATGATACGATTATTATTATTAATACTATGATTATTATGATTATAACTATTATTATTATGATTATGATTATGATTATTATTAAAAATTTATTCTTATAGTATTTTTAGTATGAATGATAAAACGTAGCATGGTGATAATGCCCATATTGATGCCACCCGGCATGCCTAAAGAACTTATCATTTGAATAATTACGTGGTCTCGCACATAAAACAAAGAAACATGCATAAATACATTTATAATTAGAAAAAAAAAAACTGTTGAAAGTATTTCATCTATATGTTGTGTCAAATCGGCACATTCAATATCTCATTATATATTTTCGAAAGAACATCGAAAAATATCATTATAAGATAGCAAATACGAATGTATACGTTATCTAAAAATTGATATCATTTACGTAGACAATTAGAAAATTTCATGAAAATACAGAAATACATGAACGCTGCCGGATGTTCCTCATCTAATAGAATATATCATCAATGTATTACACCATACCGCGGAATTTTTTTCATACTTACAGAGTAATAATTCCTACTAAAAAGAGATTGAGATTCGTCTCGACGAATAATCTTTTTCTTTGTAAATTATTTCGAGACATTTCAAGTTCTCACTATGCCTTATATGTATTATATTTGTGTAAGAACAGAGCTAATTAAAGTCTGTAGTTCATACGTTTGTAAATATTATGTAAATAATATAATCATGTTGGAATGCAGTCTACTGAGTTCCAAAGATAATAACGTAAAGTTTTTATTTTAAATTTTAAATGCAATATAATTTTTCATTTTTTTTTTCTATTCTTTATACAGTGGCCATATTCTTGGAGAATTTATCCAATGCAAAATGCAGATAAAGTTATCTGCCGAAACACTATATACTTTCTATAATAGTTGAAATATATCCATGGTTCGTATAATTTATTTTTTGCAAAATGACATGAACACAATAACATGTTTATGATATGTTTAAGAGCTTTAAAAAAACGGGAGTGTACGTGTGCAAATTTTCCTACAACGCATTACACCATATTACGTGCTATCTATCCCGCGATATGGAAAAGTATAAAGTAACTGTGACACCAAGTAATTTTATTAAAAACGTTTCAATTTAAGCAGAAATGCCCCAAGTAACAAGTAATGAAGTAACTTTGTTATCATACAAATGTTAGATCACTATTTATTATAGAATTTCATTACACTACAAGCAATTAAAAGAGAAAAAGAAGGAAAAATAAAAAGACATGCAGTTCTCAAGTGAATATTCTATAAATTGCTCTCTCTCTCTCTCTGACTAGATCAGTATTCCACTATCGAGTTCTTGTTGAATATGATTTAATCATTTGATCTTATTTCTTTGATCTTCTTCCCGGACTGTTTAGGCGTTTTGAAACTGCTTATTGGCTCACTTCCAATGATCCTGCCAACCCTCCTCTTGACTTTGACACGAATCTTCATCGAGCAAATGCTTTAATTGTTCATCTTCAAAAATGTTTAGTCTTCCACCACTATGCCGGTTTTCTACGCAAAAATCACCGCTCTTAAAGCGTTGAAACCACTTATGGCATGTTCTTTCATTCATAGCATTCTCACCATAAGCGTCTGAGAGCATTCGGTGAGCCTCAGCCACAGATTTTTGTATATTAAAAAAATAAATTAACACCTCCCGCAAATGACGAGATTCGGCTCATAAAGTGACATTTCTAAAGGGGAATAACTACATGAAGTAAACACAAATCAACTACTGGTGCTATCAGGTTATGTTTACAAGATGCTGAAGAGTATTGCAAGCCGTTTATAATGTATTCGACGTCTACTTGTCGCTAATGTCATCTATAGAAAAACGGCGGGAGCAAAGTTGTATACCTAATACAATTTGTTGAAAACATAATTTTATAGTAAATAAAGAAATAAAAAATGTTATCAAAAAATAATGTTTTGTGTGTGATAAACAATCTTCATTATTTTACTACTGTGTTTTTGAGAATTTCTTTGAAAAGGAATAAGAAAAATATTGTACGATATAAAATATAATCCAAATGAATATTGAAAATTTTCATTTACAAGTTTTATATTCTGGCATCACATTTTGAAATTATAGTTGATTCGAAATTTAGTGTGTGTTCGAAATAAATGATAATTTTCTTTTAAATTTGAATTTTAAAAAATAGATAAATGAATGAAATCGTTATAACGGTTTACTTTCGAACTATTTTACAAATTCTAGACAGATTTATGGTATATTTTTCGGTAAAATCACATATTTGTTAATTAAGATAAAAACTTGACAACTGAATTTTTCAAACGAATAAGAAAATTAATATCACATTTATAAGGCTGTACATCACCTCGGCATAAAAGTGTCTAAAACAGCATTTCCACCGCTAATCATACCAGACACCGATTTTTATAAACAAGATATCGTTTGAAAAATGAGCTATATAAGATAAGAAATATAAAGTTTGCTCAATCAATAAATACCTTTCAAGTAATCTATCTTCAAAGAAAAATTCTACTGTTTTCACTATACACGAAAATAACTAATATGAGGGAAATTAATCTACACAAGTTTATATACCTCATGGTGCTTATAGTATTATGTTTTCCATGCACTGATTTCTTGTTACGCTTTTAGTTTATATTTTGTCCAAACACTGTCGCTGCATTAATTCCGTAAACCATAATCGCTACTCGGTGATCCGTGACTGAATAAAGATCTCTGGTGTTTGTCCAATTACGTTACTTCATGTCTATGAGAGACTTTTTTCATTCGCTGGGGCCATCCAATCCCCCAAATGTAAATTTAAATTTAAATCTATTTAAACATGTATAATACATAATTTATTGTAAAATAATTTGCTAATTGTTAGTAAGAATGTAAAAAATCTTTTTAACTAATTTTGTATATTTGATTAAACATTTATACAGAAATGATTATCATCAATTATTTGTAAGTATATGCATAATTACTAATAATAAGTGAATTATATATATACATATATATCTTAAATAAATGTAAAAAATAATTAAAAGAATATTTTACTTAAACGTAAGTATTATTGTTATGCGTTGAGTACCGATAATAAGTATATAAAATATTTTTTACTACAATAATTATTTGCTTATAAATATCTAAAATATAGAAGTGTACACATGATTAGAAGTGACAATAAAAAAGAAGATATATCTTTTTTCTCTTTGGTTTCATCGCATAAAACTGTCGCATATATTCATAGTTATAAATTATGGTTATATATGGAATTCGATATGAAATACAAATATTTTCATGCTTTAGAACAATGAAGTCAATGAATATATTGTAAAATAAAAATTAAATGTTATATCGCTTATCTAGCTTTTATCGCTTATTTATTTATGCAGTTATTATTCTACAAAGATTTTATCTTATATTAATGTATTTATACTATTTATATAGATATACTACAATATATATATATATATATATGTTACCGACAAAGTACGAAATCCGGCATTCTACAGAACAAAACTAGCCGGCAATGTACGAAATGTATTTATATTTCACACATTGCCTAGGCATTCTGTAGAATGCCAAATGAGAAACCAGCAAAGTAAGAAATACATCTCCGATTCGTTTTTAAACACTCTCATTATTTTTTCAGAATAATATTTGTATTTTTGAGGAATACACGTTATTTATATAATAGCATTATCAGGACCTTTTTTCATACTTTGCCTATTGGAGATAGCAGTACGAAGTAGCAGTATTTATTCAAGATACTTTATTTAAATAATACACACGAATTCAAATAGAGTTAAGACAGAAACTAGTGATAATTTGGATAATTAAATTGTGATTCTATTTTTATATGATTGATTGACTGATTGAGAACAAAAGTAATACTTTATACTGAATACAAATCATGTGAAATAATGTGAAAAACGAAGCCCATCTCTTGTTTTTCCTTATCTTTTCGAGGAAGCCCAAAATTCAACAGAAGTTTCGTTTCTCTTTCCGGCTCGCTTGATCAGCCGATCGCTTGTGTGTGTGTGTGTGTGTTTGCATGTGCCCAATAATGTATTTTTCTCAACATTGCCTAAATACGCCAGGCATTATCAGTAATGCTTAGGCATTCTATAGAATTCGTACTTTGCCGATAACATATATATATATAAATGAAAAAAATTTTTTTAACAAAATTTTAAACCTAAAACATTAATTATGTGCTAGCTAAATTAAATGCATATTTATATTGCCTCACACACACACACACACACAATTTATAATAAAATGAATTAAAACTTAAGAACGGTGCATGAGATAATATAAAACTATATATATATATTATTAAATATTAATATATTTTGAATATATGTTATTGTGTAAAATCGAATATAAGGGTTTATTCTTATACATTAATATTTCGGACATACGCCAAGCGACCATGTGAATCTTGATCCAATTTCGGACTTTCACGGTAATATATATATATATATTATTAAATAATATATATTATTATATGATCATATATATATAATATATATTATTAATATCTTCAAAATATATTGTGTTATTCTTTAATGGTCCTGTCGGTGAAGAACAAGCATGGGCATTATGTTATCAGGCTGCTAAAACCTTGTCTTCTCTTCTGCAAGATAAATGTTATAAGTTGTCAAAACTATTATAAATATTTCTTTACAAGGATAACGATTTTTTTATAGATACAAAATGTTCAATTAAATGAACTAAAAATGGCTTATTATTTAGCTTTAGAATTTTTAAAACTCTTAAAACAACTACAGAACGTTTACAAGAACAGATGATGAAGATATTGAAGAAAATTCGGGGAAAATGGATATAGATGAATTCGCTATGGAAGAAACTGATTCTTCTTAAGAAGGAAATTTGTCTACATGCTCCTTGAAGTATGTTTCAATTTATGAATCATACACATATAGACTACAATCGAAATAGCAAAAATGCATTATCGTGCTGTGATAAGAGCTTATGTATTAGAGGTATTGGAATTATCTTAATTTGTAAAACAAGTTTTGACAAACAATCTTCACGAAAGTGACAAAATATCGCCTACTACAGATAACGCAATACGTGGATCAATATCATAGCACATTTGATTCCAATGATTGGATAAGATTTTGAGTTCGGATTAAATAAAGATTTTAAATTGAAAAGAAGTAGAAGCTAATTTACTATCTCGCCAGAGACGAGATGCGAAATTTGAATTAATTTCTTATGAAATTTTTTAATAGATGATATTTGAGAACAAAGGTATTGTCTGACAAAGATACTGTCATTCAAAGACGGACGTTCATAAAAGACAGCAAGTTCTAACGGTTGAAGAAAGAGGACGATCCAATGAAATAAAAGATAACAATCGCAGAGTTAAATTCATTCTCAAAAGAGAAAAGTAGTGAGGTTTCGGATGAAGAAGCAAAATCAGAAATAGAAATGTCTAAAAAATCAAGTATATCTTTATGCAAACTTCATGAAAAAAGCAGATTAAGTCTTCAATATATTGTTAAACAATAAAACTCCTCCATTAAATATTCCGATGGGGATTTTATTACTGAAATATTGCCTAAAAGATATGGATTAGAATGCAAAACGGACAGAGAATGAATAAATTTATTCATAGCTCTACTCGTGTGTAATAAACATAGTCATCTTGGTAATAGCAATAAATTTGTAAATTGTATTCATTCATACAATCATTATACTATTAAAAATTAAAGTTAAGCCATTTCATCGTTATTTCCGCTAAGTATACGTGCATTATGATGATAATTACGTTTCGAGGTGTATTCTCCCGAATTCTGTGTTTCATACATTTTTCTATTGGCTAAATAACGTCGATAATTATTTTCACGTTTTCTCCGTTGCTCTTCTGCTTGTTTTTTTAATTTTTCAGGATTCATATGTGTCGTTACCATATGTCTCGTCAAGGAGCTCATAAATTTATACGTGATTCCACATACATCACAAGACAAGATTTCTTCATTTGCCCCTTGCTGAAATTTTGAAGGAAAATAAACAATAAATTATTTTAAAGCACTTACAAGTATTGTTTTCATAAAAATATAAACAAGTTTCAGTCAAGATTATTTACCTGTTGATGTACCATCATATGTCTTTGTAAATTATTCAATCGGTTAAACTCTCTTCCACATACTTCGCAATCAAACTTTTTGTCAGTATCATGATTTCTTTTGTGTAAATTTAAATCAGCTAAATGTAAGAATGTTTTTTGACATATGTCACATGTATGTGTTCTTTGACCATTGGGTAGATGTGACTGTTCATGTTTCATTAAGCTAGCCTTCTCTACAAAACGACGACCACAATAAATGCAAGGAAGTGGCCGAGATTGTGAATTATGCAGAGTTAAATGTCGACGTAATGCAGTAGAAGTAGGAAAATTTTTATGACATTCTAGGCATTGAAATGGTCGATCACCAGTATGAGTCTTTCTATGACGTGCCAAGGAATTTTGATCTGGATATCTATAAATTATTATTAAGAACAATAATAAGTTCATCAATTCTTTCATAAACTTATAATATATCTGTATTAAATAAAAACGCAAGAAATACTAAAGCTTACCTTTTAGGACACAAATCGCAAGGAAAGTTTCTTGTTGTAATATCTTCTTCTCGAGCATGCTTTAGCCTGTTGTGCCTTAAAAGTTGAAAAGATGTTTTAAAACTTTTATTACAAATATCACATTTCATGTTATCTGTTGTAGGTATTATAACTTGAGTCCTTTTTTGTCCATGCTCATCTTCCGAAATTATTAAAGAAATTGTTACTGTATTATCTTCATTGTCAAGATCTTGAAGTGCAGAAGTAGAAGATACAGTATTCTAAAAAATAAAAAATGTTTCATCAAATCATAAATTCAATAAAGCGTTATACATTTGTAAATACAATACATACAATTTTATTTTTAGAGGTAGTTTTAGAGTCTAAATCTGTTAAAGCCATAGGCGTTTCTTCAGTAGGTCTATTATTTTGTTGCAATTGATTGCATGACTCTTTACTATCTTGATCATCACTATTATCAGCAATAGCGTAATTTCCATCTTCAGTTAAATAAACTGGTTGTAATTGCCCATGCTCATCTTTATAATATAGCTGACCCTCTTCATCCTCGTGTAAAAAGATTTGTTCCTATGACATTAAAATAGAGTTATTAAAAGACGTATACATTAATTACGCAATAATTGTTTTTTTTTTTTAATTTAATTAATCTCAACCTGAGACATTTCTTCTTCTTGATATTGGTTAACATCATTCTCAGAACTTCTATCTTCATTTGCAGTATCTTGTGTTTGTTCATTTTGCTCTATTTGTACTGCTTCATATTGATATTGTTCATTTATATCAACTGGCTGAGCAACATACAATCTTTCCATATTATCACCTTCATAGTAAATTGTCCCTTCAACTGGAATTGTATTTTCTCTCAACTGTTCCATCTGAAATAATGTTCATTTATGAAAATAATTCATATCTCTTATTATGATATGAATAAATTATACAAGCCTTTATGTAATGATCATCAAGATTTCTTTTTTCTTCCTGTTTTGTAGTAGAAGTCGATTTTCTTGAACCAAGTATAGTATACACTAAATTATTTTCAGTATTTTTAATAACTTCATGAGTGAAATTGTTATCGATACTATTGATACTATGCGTATCATTATCATAATCTTTATTCAGTCGAGATTTATTCACTTTTGTAGTGAATGATTCCATGGTATTTCTAATATCTGTTTTATGGCTTTCTAAAGAAAAACTTTTTCCTTGGTTTCCATCAGATCGTTCATTCTCATGTAAAAAGTTGTAATTTTGTGATGATTCTGAATTATGATGCTGAGAGTCAGATTCATGATCCATTACTTCATCCATTTCTTCTACATGTTCAATATCTTCATCTTGCCAATCTTCATCAACATCATATGCTATAACTTTATTATTTGATTTCTGTTGTTTATTATAAGAGGACTTAGAATTTTTATCATTCTGATCTTTGAATATTACATTTTCTTCATCGGATTGATATATCTTGTCTACTTCAGAATTTCTATCACATTGTTCATCCTGTAAATTCCCTTCAAATTCTGTACCGCTATTATTTTCCTTAGACAATTCTGCAGTTTTAGGATAATCTATTAATGAATCTTCCATTTCTTCTACTTCTTCAATTATTTCTATTATTTCTTCTATTTCTGTCTCTGTTGAATCATCCGAGTAATCGGGCTTTAATATTATCTCTTCAGCAACCACATGTTTGACCACTTCTAATACATTTTTATCTTTGGTAATATTCATAACATCCAAAAATCCTGGTTCTATCTCCATTATTTTCTTTTATATAAATTGGGAAGATGGTGCTAAAATGATAAAAAAATACATATTGAGGTTATTTATACAAATACAACATAAACAAATGTTATTAGAATACATGTAAAATATAAAAATATCATAGCATATCTTTCAGTCATGAAAAATTAACATAGAATTTGAAGTTCAAAGTAAAATGTAATATTAAAATAATATCTTAATAATTATTAAAGATTATCTACATTTAATTATTATTGTTGCATATACTTGATTGACACTTTTTTGTTACTTATATGTATAATACAATTCAATAATTTACACCTACTATTCATAACATGAATAGTCTTAAGAATTAAAAATATATATTATATATATTTATATAAATAGTAAAGAAACATCACATCAGTAATAATATTCGATATCTTTATTTTAAAACGTACAATTTTTAAGAAATATAATATATTAAATTAACCTATTATATATAATTGTAATATATTTATGCTTTTAATGAATGAAAGACAATGAATTTTATCAAAGTATTACATCAAATGAAATATAATATAAAAATATAAGATTACACATTTTTCCAAATATTTTTAATCTTTTTTTTTTTATTTGAAAAGCTTTAAACATTCGAAACAATTTTTTAAAAGCACATTATATGTCAAAATTTGATTAGCTTAAAATTAAAATCCAATTCAATTTACAATTTAACACTATTTATCCATTGTGGTATTTAAGAAAAATAGTTTTTTGTTGGTAAATAAATGAAGATAAAATGTAATAAGATAAGAGACATGGAACACTTGTAATTTCATACAAACTAAGAAAAAAGTAATGATTTGTTAACTATTCAGGCCTTATGTAGAAAATATGGACAACAATTTTCTCTGGATTGAACATTTGTAGTGACTTTTATCCTTCATAATGGAATTCTATTGTCAAAAGAGTAAAATATAAAGCGGGACAAGAATACGCACTTCGATTTTATACACTGCAACTAATTCGTGGTTCACCTGTCGGTACGAAAATGCTAAGCATTTATCAACGGACAGCAAAATGGCCACGAAATAATAAGAAGTGCTCACCTTACTAAGATGAAACCTGATGATTCTCGAACACAAAAAGAAATACACGATTTGACTATTATTTGAACGTTAGACTAATAAATTATCTATATCTCCATTACTTCCAAAAGTATAACAATTAAAAATAAGAAAATATTATTGCTCGGTCGATACGCGCCAGTCTACCTCCGTTAGAAAATTCTTTGTCGAATAAATGACGCCACCTTAAACTAAGTTTCCATTGATGTCATAAGATTATTAAATTCTGACAAAAATCAGTATTTTTCACATAATAATATCAATTATATTTGACATAGAGAGGATTTATGGAAAAATTTAAATATTTATTTCTTTCAAAATAATAATTTTTATCAATTCTTACTTCTTATTTAATTCTTTTTTTAAATTTATTACTTATCGATATTAATGGCCGATTCTCATTGGATATTTCCTAAAATTATTTAGCTTTTATTTGTAATTAACATATTGTTGTTTATTTTTTATATATTTCATTTTTCATCATAAAATAATATATAGATTTTTGTTTTTATGATATATATATATATCAATTTACAATAATTGTTAGTTGATTAATGAATAGTGCTATTATTGGCTAAAATTGGACAGCGAATCAAAATGCAGGAAAGGATAAAATGAAAGGGCCGAATGCATTGTTTTATTGATGAAAGTGAAAAAATATTTTGTCGATAGAATTAAAATATTAAGAATTTAATTAGAATGATAATTAAAAAATGATATATATATATATTTAAATATATATGGAAATTTATTTTTTGATTTTATGTTATTATATAATGAAATTAGTATTAACAATATTATGCATAATAGTGACGTAAATTCAAGGAATAATGATATGCAATATATATGTATTTCACTATTAATTGTCACTTAAACTAATAAATGTCTGTTTATTAATAATAAATAAATTAAGTACCTAGGAATATGTACGTTGTGTTTATTTAGTAAATTAAATACAAGAATAATCATAAGTTTTATTATTAGAATGTTATACTGCAGAAGTACTCTTATCCTATTTCATGGTTTGTTACCGAATATGAAACTACGTCATTAATCGTTCTCTCGTAGAAAATCAAGGAAATCGTTATTTTATTTGCTGTCCTACGATATAGATTTTATTTAATATAAAAAACATGTGGCCATTTTTACTTTCGATATTTGCGCTGTTTCACTTAGCTTCAGCATCAGGTAGTTTTGATTTTGGTGACACATTAGCATTAATTTTGGGTCTTATTATTGGAATTATGGGATTTTTTGCTTGTATGGGGGCCTACGCAAGACGACGAAATCAATTTGAATCTTTGTGATCATGGAAAATGTATTTCAATAAAATTCATGGGTAAGCAGTAATATAAGAATTTAAATATATTTAGAATAAGCATGAAAGTGTGCGTGTGCGTGTGTATGTTGTGTTCAAGAATTAAATAATATTATAAAGATTTTTTAACGGAATTTTTTATTATTATATTAATCATTTATATATATATATATCATTTCTGTACTTATATATCTTTTTTGTTTTCGTTCAACAACTATATCTTTCTAAAACAGTTTATTTGATTGTATTTACATGGGAAATGAATATATATTGATTAACAGTATATCACAATGTACGTATAATGACATACATTATATTAAATTGCAGGATATAAGAAATATTTAAAACTATAGAGGAGTCTAGATTAAAAATGCTTAAAAGGAGCATCGTATTGAATTTATACGTATATATTAAAACAAATGTCAAGAAAATATTAAAAATTATATAATATTATCTGCCTAATTATTTTATATTATTGAAAAATCAATCTTTGAAATAACACTAACTGTAGATATTCAATATATAAGAAAGCGTAAGAAATGTTTCTTTTATAATCAGTTTCTTTCTTTATTTATTTATTTTCCTTCATCAAGGTTACAACTGCTTTGACTTTGATCCTTTAGCACGCAAATATTATTCTTATTTATCATATATGTGCAAGAGAATGCACTTATTATATTGTAATAACTATTTCTTGTTTCTGTATTTTCTTTATTATAATACAAACACTATATGAGCATCTAATAAAAACAGACATGTTTCAAATCAATAGGAATGCAATAAAATAAAAATAATTGTCAGTTGTTTCTATTATAAATTTAAAGTAATATCGATAATTGAATAGCATATTTAACTATTACCACACGTTACATAATATGATTTGTAATTACTAATGATCAAATATATACTATATTAACAAATTAAAACTAGATGAATAATATTGATGAAATTAATGACGCGTTTTTAATTTTGTCATAGGTTATAATTTCAAAATATCAACATTATATATATCAGTAAAGAACATATGAACTAAATCACATTGTTTTTTTTCTTTAATATAGATGTTGTAATACTATAAGCTATAAATAAAAAGAAAGTATAAATTGCAATCGATGAAATTTGCTACAGCTTTTTTAAGAAACAAAAGCTTGTTTGTTCTACACCTTCTATATTCAGTTAAATATTATGATCTAATTGTGTAAAACAAAAAATTATTATAACTTAATTATTTATTTTCTTAAATAATTCAAAATGCGTTTTCAGATATATTAAAATGAGAGTAATATGTAAGAAGCTTTTTTAAAATGTAAAAGTATTAAAATATTGCAATATTTTTTAATATATCATACTGTTTTATCACAAGTAAGAGATAAATATGACAAAAAGGGTCATCAGTTGCACATTTTCAAGATTGGGAATTTTTAAATGTGTTTAGAGCAAAGATTTATAAAATTTGATATCAACATATAACATAGATTAATAATGATAAGTATTTCTTATCTAATTTGCAGAAATCTGGAACTTTCAAAAAGAGTAAGGAAATATTTAAAAACACATTTTCACGCTGTGTATTTTTCTACATTTCGCTTTAATATTTTTCATTTATGATATTTTTCTACATGTGTTCTCACATTCCTCATTCTTTTTGGGCTCATAACTTTTATGTATTTTTGGTTTATTTCCTCACTTAAGAACAACATGTAAAACTCAATGCAATGTCACTGAAATTAAATTCACATAAGTTTAAACTGTATTCAATTGAAAAATGTACTTGTTGCAATTCTTATTCTGTCAATCATATGTAATTCAATATTCACATTCATCAGTTCAATTTTTATATTTCTAAGAATTATGCATTTTAAACATAAAAATAATGTTCACTCATAGATAATTGAATATGTTCATTACTTCTCCGCAGATCTACAATGCATTACGCTAATACCATAAACTATAATATAAACGGAGATTGATCCGCCTGTTTTTCACGGAAGAGAATCAGTATTTCTTACACCAAGAGATTACTAACTACTAATTTTTTGAGTTTCGAAATGTATACTCTAATCGTGTGTAATATTATTACAGTCCAATAAATATACACATGTATGTGTATAAATGAAATAAAAAACTAGCAGAAATGAAAATATTTCCAACACTGATTTCTCATGTGTGTTTTTTACTCATTTGCTTACTGATTCTTGTTTTACCTAATCAGTCTTTATGTTTCTATTCTTGAAATTCTGAGAAACATAATTCTAAAATTGTTTCTTAAGTTCATATACTAGAAAGAATTCATATACTAGTTAGCACAAAAAAAATCATATAGTTTTATTTTCCTTAAAAACTTGTTTACTTCTGAGTAGGCTTAAGCAAGTAAGGAAAAAGCAATAAGTGTCATATGTAAAATGTAGATGACACGTGTGAATGATACATAACACTTCTCCAATACCACTTGAATGTATCATACCTCTTCTTTATATATAAATTCTTTATTTTATTTAAAGTTAATAGTCAATAATTTAAGCAAAAGCAGGCTTTGTGGTATAGGACTACAGGTAAAGCTAGCAAAATTCAATCCAAATAAGAAAGTTATTTATATTTCTTGTAGTAACGTGAATAAATCAAATTGAATTTTGTATATACCTGCTTATGCACAACTCTATTCTCAAATATTTATTGATAAATCGAAATCTTTTTAAAATTTAATATTCGGCAACATAATATTGACAAAGATTATTAATATACTAAAATTTATACACAGATTTGATAGTAAACATCAAATATGCTTACTTTTCAATGATTAATATCGAGCAATTTTTTAAATAATCGATATTGAATTAAATTATCAAAATTGTCCAATATTCAAATAAAATACTTCTATCGAACAAAAAAATGAAATTTTGTGAAAATTTCATAACTTTTTTGTTCATTTAAAAATTATTTTCTATATTAATAAATGTCTCACTCCTTTGTCTTATTATAGGTATAGCTCAAAAATTTGAGAAACTGAACTCAGTCGGAATATTATTATCCACATAGTATTATATATAAATTGCAAAATATAAGAAAATATTTACTATTAATTGATTCATTTTTGCAGGCAGTCTTTGAAAATTATTTTGTGATACCTAACTCCATCTTTTATTAAGCTCAATTCCATTAAGTCCAATACCACATTACTATTATTTTTCTACTAGAAAGAAGCACTAGTCAACAATATTTTCCATTCTTATTATTTCTGAGGTATAGGTCTAACGCATTTCTTGAATATGAAAATACGATTTTATAAATATAAGAAATTATTTTAATCGTGTGTAAACTGTTTTTCTCGTGTTTGGAAATTTAAAAGTATGTAAATGTATTATTCACATATTTTTTGATAAAATATTTTGTAAAATCAATACTAAAATATTAAAAGAAATAGAGAGAGGAAAACATAATAAATGAAAATTAAGGACAAATTGAATGAATATTTAACTATACTTAATAATTGTCAATATAATTAATATGAAGTTAATATTTTCTTTTAAAATGAAACTTTGGCACACACTCCATATTATATGATTACATTCACACTATTCAAGCAAAATAGAGTATCAATTATATAACAATGTCTATTAAATAGAAAAATTATATAATAGATTGCTTCCATAATAAGAAAGAAGCTGCATTCCAAATTAAAATTGAAAGCAATGTTTACACTTTAATTATAGATCTGTTAAATAGAGAAATTCTTAAAATAATCTTGCTAAAATTTTAAAAATACGATATTATTTTAATCAAATTAAAAAATCTTGTTGACTAGTGTATTTACTATGAATTCAAAATTAGTACATAATATATTGCCTAATAATATTCATGATAGGCGTCTTTGGTAAAATGGCAAAAGATTCTTTCATAAAAAGTCTTATAAACTTATAATTTTATACAGAAATATAGTGTACCATATCAGATATATCAAATTATAATTTGAATGCTATACTTTCTTTGATAATACATTCGAAAAACGATTATAAATTATATTTCCTGATCTTAAAATTAAATATAATTAATTAAAATATTAATTTTAATATTTGTTAAACCATGTCACCAAAGATTTTCAACGTAAGATGCACAAAACAGAGAAACGATCCAATTAAAAGCAATTTAATTATTAAATAATTGAAGATCCCGTCACCATGAAATTATTTTTAAAAAACATATATTTTGGTGTACAAAAGGAATAAGGTAACAAAATTACCATTAATTGAAAGTAAAAAACATGAGAGTGCATAAAAACAAAATAAAAAAGTGAGTAACGATAGCATTTTTGACATTCTTAAGCAATTGATATGATTATTAAAAAAGTTCTTATAATTATACAGCATATGATTTCAATATTATTTCTGCATCATACAGAAGTATCAAATACATCACATGTGTGTGCTTATTACTCATTTTTAAATTTTGTAATAAATTTCATTAAGCATATATTATTGCAAAGCAATGCATGACGAAAAGTTGTTTAAAGCAATGAAAAATTATTTAAAAATTATGGATTATAAAAATAACAGATTGTATGCATAGTTTAGCAAACAGAACTATAATCTTGTAATTTATCTTATAAGCAGTACTGTTTATAGACATTTCAAATAAGAAATAATGAAGAGACGTAAAATAAAAATTCTTTGTCTTTATATTGCAGAACAAATTTGGAAGAGTTTCATGAATTTTTTATGATCTTTCATCTGTCACTGAATTGCCTAAAATGTAATTCCCTGATTGTATGATTTTTTAAATCTTTTTCTTATTATTAATAAAATTCTTGAAAATAAAATATATAAAGTAAAAAGTACTAAACACAATTGTATTTTTAATTGTAAAATGATGGTAATAGTACTCAAAAGTAGATAAGATATATAGGATTGCTAACTAGTAACACATTACTTTTTCTTTAATTGAAATAGGTAAAATCGCTAGAAATACATTAAAGCATAACAGTGACTATATTATCATATTTTTTCTCTGTTTATCTCCATTATTTGACACATTCACACATCACACACACACAGAAATAAACATACGTTCTCTCTTCCTCACTTCATTTTCTCTCTATTTCTTATATTCTTTCTCTTTCTCTTTCTCTTTCTCTTTCTCTCTCTCTCTCTCTCTTTCTCTCTCTCTCTCTCTTTCTTCCTCTCTTGCTTTTTCTCATTCCCTTCTCTGAAGCATTCAGTATACATTAACAGTTATACATATAATCGAGCAGAATGGCTAGATGCCATCTCGATCGTAAGACTAGCTGAGGCCTGTACTAATATGGACTGTGCCATTTAAAAGATTGAGAGCATTTAAGGTTCTTTAAGCATTCCAATAATGGAAGATTTGCTTTTAATATCGAAGCACAGTTATACAACGTAGAGGCCTCTATCCCCAGCTTTTGAATTACCATTCAGAAACTTATTACGCCAGTTCAAAATATCCTTGAAATATTTAATTCCAATCTTGCTTCAATCGCGAGGCATATACCAAATATTAATGTTTTGCTGATGCGCGGGTAACAAGAATATCTTCTATGCATTTATACGTAAATGTCATAATACATCAAGCTCGAAGGGCATCATTATGGCTGCCTAACTAAACGCTAGTCAGTATATATCAGCTAATGAGTTTCTTAAATTTTTGTAGAGTAACTGATTCTATACTGATTAATTTTTTCAATGAGGCAGCATTATTAATTTGCTCTGTACATCTTGTATATGCTTCCATATGTGTGCACCTCATGTATAACCAATATAATCATGTTTGGAGCATATCATATTAAAAGATAATTATAATAATACATAATTTTATAGTAATATTCAACGTTAAATAAAGAATGTATTATGTGGAAAAATTGACTGGAAAGTATAGAATATTTTGAATTGTGTATTGCGTTATTGATCTGCTTGAGGAAGAGTAGTTACATTTTCAGAACAATGCTGGGTTTCTGTAGGAGGCGTACCATCATGCGAGTTTCCTATTTGTGGAGTGGCAGGGGTCGCTGGTTGAGACTGAGGGGTCCCAGTAGGCGCATATATAAGACGATATCCAGCTGGTAAAATGAAGCCAGCATGCGACGTGCAACTGAATGTTTGAAAGTTTGCTAACGAAGGACCCTCGTGATATTGAACATATGCTCCACTTCCAATAGAACCTGATGTTGATGTTGGTGCAACTAAAGCTCCACTCGCAGAAGTAACGTTTGTAGTATCTGGTATTATTGGTGTAAACTGACATTGACTCGAATTTATAATCACAGGATTATTTGTTGAATCAGATATATCAGAGGTTTCGCTTGAATAGTTAATATTCTGTTGCGCAGAAATATTCTGCATACTTTCTGAAGGCACTACTGGAATTGGAATAACATAAGCATGCTGTATGCTGGCTGCTGTTTGTTGCTGTTGAAGTTGAAGTGGAGTTTGTTTAAGCTTCTGCATGGCTAACCTTAATGTTTCGTCGGTATCTGGACAATTGCTGATGCCTTTTTGCAATGGAGTTTGTGGGGCTGTGCTAAACGTTAAATGATCATCTACACCTGGTACTCTTCCTTGTCCTATATTTACATAAATAGATATATCCCTTTTTAACAAATGATAGTACAAAGAATTATCTAATGAAAAGTTCAAATAAATACTTTTTCTCAGGATGTATATTAAAAACTTACTGTAAATAATATCTTAAATCATCTTGTTTTTTTCTTAAACATACTTATATGCTTGTATAAATTATAAAAGTTTATAATATGTAGAATATATAGAGATATATATTTACATATATATTGCAACAAACTTTAATTTTTGTATATTAATTTAAATTCTTACTATGGTACAACTGACCTGCTGCAGCATTGGTAGCTACTGTATGATAAAGAAGTGGATGATGTTGGTGGTGCAACGCACTTGCTTGTTGTTGTTGTTGAATTAATAATTGCAATTGTTGTTGTTGAAAACGTTCTAATTCTTCTCGGTGCCTTCGTTGAAGTATTTCTAATTCCATAGTTTGCCTAAAGAATACAATTTTTTGTTATAATTTTTGTATTATATATTTACTCTTAATATATACTTTTTTTTTTCTTATAAACTTATACCTTTTTATAAGTAATTGATATTCTTCACTTGGTGTTAAAGTTGATGCCCGTTCTTCTTTCTCTAATTGTAACTGCATATATAAATACATTTAATATTATTAATCTAAATGTAATAACTTTTATATGATCATTTTCACACTCACACCAGTAAATGTTATGGTTATTACCTCTACTTGCACAGAATTATTTGTTAATGTTGTTTGTATTGGAGGCATGGACCCTTCCCGACTCTGTATCAAATACGTTGTCGATGCTACTGTAACATTAAATAGAGTATATTTTAATGTATATAATAAATAACGTAAAAATTAATAAAATGCACTATTACTATTCATGCTGAATATCTTACTTTGTTGTTCATCCGAATGACATGTTTTAATTTCTTGTTGTATATTTGATGTAGCAGAGCTTGGAGGTCCCGATACTTTAGATACCATAAATCTTGAGATTTTTCTAACAGGTTGTGCTGCAGGTTTCTGTAAACATCGAGATATAATATATTTTTAATTGTAAAAAATATTATTCATTAAATATTATACAAAATATTACTACATTTTATACAGCATTATGCATTTTCGCAATTATGATTCTTTAATTTATAGTAGAAAATATAAAATACCTCGGATACAGAATCTTGTAGTTCTGTTTGTACGGGTGTATTCGTATCAGAGCGAGACTGCACAATATTCGATGTCATAGAGGCAATAGGAACTGAAGGAACAGTTGTTAATAAATTTTGTGTTTGCTGCAACGCTGGTTGTACCGGCGGAGGATTAATAACAGGTACAGGAGGTGTTAACGGTTGAGGCGAAGTTGTTGGAAGTACGGGACCTCTATGATGAATTTTGGCTAATTCTTGTTCTAATTCCTGAAGGCGAGATCCTGGTCTTTGAATTCGCACTTTTATATTTTCTTTACTTGGACTCATGTTTTCAGGTCCTCCTTGATTTCCCGGTATAGGACTATCCAGTGAGCAATCTACATTCTAAAGTATAAGAGATTATAACGTTTACTTGCGAAAATTATTTAAAATATTATTTACTTTTTATGTAACTTACAGATTGTGAAGATATAACTTGAGAGGAAGTATCTTGATATGTTATTGGTCCTTCAGAATTTGTTACTATATTTGAATCAATACCAGCACTTGTAGAATGTATTGTAGTCTGAGGCGATAGAGGACCCTTTAATTTAAATAATATTTATAGTATATATAAAAGTAATAACATAAATTATTAGCAGTAACAGAAGCAATAGTATTATTAATAGAGGTATAATGTTTTTAATTTAGTACCTGCGCTAGATTTTGTGCAGATGATATTGGCATACCAATATTAACCAACTTTTGTTGTAAAGAATGCATGTATGCATCATATCCTCCTGTTACTTGATGACTGTGAGGTGTGGCTGGATAACTTATAGGTGGTGTACCAACATTTAATAATTCAGATGGTTGACTAGTTACTTGAACAAGTTTTTGATGCAAATCTGCTATTGTTTGTGGCCCAGTTCCTCCTGTACTTCCTACACTACTTATATCTGATACTTTATCTAATGAATTCTGTTGACTCAATTTACGATGTTGATACTGCTGCTGCTGTTGTTGTTGTTGTTGCTGCTGCAACTGTTGTTGCTGTATAATTTGTTGTTGCATAAATAAATTAGGATCGACAGATTCTACAAGTGTGTGCTCTGGAGTTACATCATGACTAGAATTTTCATTTTCCAAAGTTAACAACTGATAATCAGAGAACACACGTTTAATCACACTGCCATCATGAGCTTCAGTATCTAATATTTTTCCTATTTGTTGTTGTTCTGGAAGTTTTAAATGTAAATGAGATTGATCAGATACAGTAGCAGGTTCTACATGAACTTGTTCTTGAGTTATTTGCTGCATTTGTGGATGGGCAGGAGGTACTTGTTGAAGCTGTGGTTGAATCTGCATAGGCTGAACATTTCGCACAGATATATTTTGAGGCAATATATTTTGGTTTGTACAACCCACCCATTTTGTTTGAGAAGACATCGTATTAGTTGACACATTTTGTTGTAAAATTTGTAATTGAGAATCGGTTTGTAATGGAACACTTAATTGAACTCCTTGTGGTAAGAAAGCTGAATTTTGATGGGGTAATTGCTGACTCTGAAATGTTTGTTGAATATTTGACAAGTTTTGATGAACTTGATGCATAGTTTGATTTTGAAAATTTTGCTGTGTTTGTGTTTGCATTGGTAATTGACTTATTTCAGGTTGTATAGGTTGGAAATATTGTTCTGATTGTGGTGTAGGTTTGTAATCAAGAACAGTTGTATTAACAGCAGTTGTGTTAATGTTTGGTTCATGAGTACTCAAGCCATGTGGTGTAGCAGATTTGGATTTTGGATTAGAAAGAATATTTGCTAAATTTTGTGCCAAATCAGGAAGTGTCGAAGATATCTCTTTTGGTTTAATTACAGGTTTATGAGCAGTTTCAGTAGAAACAATAGGATGAGCTGGCACTGTAACAGGAGCTGGCATTTGTGTAGGCAAATTTCCTGAAACATGTATGATATTTTGGGTAACTGTTTGATGTTGCCCAGGATCTTGATTTCCTTGCATTAAAGTTATAGGAGTATCTTGTGGGACAACTTGTACATGCTGTATATGTTGAATAGGCGTATTTGACATCATTGTAGCATATCTTTTATCTTCAGAAATATTGGATACTTCGGTTGTTTGAGATTCTGTTGACATATTAGATGTAGAAGAAATACTAGAAATCCTACGATTTCTTTCATCTACATTTGATTGTTGTAATTGTTGTATCGGTCCAGAAAGGATCACATATTGTTGATGTTGTTGTGGTAAATATTGATGTACGGATCGTTGAGATTGATTTTGCTCTGTTTGCATATGTTGTTGAGTTACATTTTGTTGTATATTTTGTTGTACATTTTGTTGTATATTTTGTTGTATATTTTGTTGTACATTTTGTTGTACATTTTGTTGCACAATTTGTTGCTGTTGTATTATAATATTAGATTGCATAGTAGATTGATTTTGATATTGTGGTTGCGTGTTTAAATTGCTTGTTTGCATTTGTTGAGACTGCATTTCTTTTTGTGATATAGCAGTGAAATTTTGAACAGTTGACTGATGTACTTGTTGAGTTACTTGCTGTATAATTGGAGTACCAGGCATTATAACGTGTTGATTAGATTGTACAGCACCTATATTTTGTTGTAATTGCCCTGATATTGTCATTTGAGAAATATTCTGAACTCCAGCAGTTTGTTGATTAAATTGTTGTAAAGTAACCTTAGTATTATCCATTTGATCTACAGATTGTTGTAAATTAGGTAAATTTATGTCAATGTTAGATGGTTGTTCTACTGTTACAACTTGTGTATCCAAAGTACTTATTTCTGTTTCTTCCGACTTTGTTGTATCTACCTTTACAGTATTATTTATATTTTCTGATATACCAGAGGCTTCTGTTTCATTTGCGAGTTGTTTTTGTTCAACCACGGGACTAACTAAGAAACGAGATATCTTACGTATTGGTGCAGCAGTTAATGTCGACGTTTCTATAGAATTTGTATCGGATGTTGGTATATCTTTATTCACATCTTTTTCTTGAATGTCTGTAACTTCTTTCGATATATCATCTTTCGTTGAATCACTTGTTTGAGATATAGAAGTATTCACATCTTCTATTTGTTTTTGAACGGACATAGCTGGCAATTGAGCAATTGAATAAGTATTAGCATCTTCTTGGACGATATGAGTCGCTTCCAAAACTGTATCTGCAGATGTTAAAGAAATTCCACTCTCCTGAGGATCAGTGAAATCACTTGGAATATTAGTTGGTGTCAATGTATCAGTATTTTGAGTAGACGTAGATGATCGTCTAGACGCTTCTGCCGATGTGCATTCAGTAGCTCCTTGATTATCAGTTGTTGGAATATTTTGTTGCTTATCCAAAGAAGAACTTGCAATATGTGAAATTATTTGATCGATTGGCAACAATTTTGTTGGAGTAGAAGTGTTTGAAGTTTCGTCTCTCTGAAAAAATATAACATCATTTTTATGAATATACTCAATAAGTTTAAGAAAGTCTAGATGTACAAACAAATATATATATATATATATCATATTATCTATTTATATAATTAATGTAATGATACTAAATAACAATAAGGAAATATGTAAATTAAACTATCACCAATACACGGTTTCACGCAACATATACACACTCATATATTTAATACTATATATATTCTTCCTTTTCTGTCCTGATTAAATAATGGTACTGGTGATATAAGGTGCTCTGTTGATATTAAAATACCATTGTGATTGAACTGATATAATTCACATAATAAATATATAGATACTTTGGTTATTTATGACCTGGTACAATAGGAAAGGATACATAAATAAGTAGGAATATACAACAAAATTCAGGAAGTAGGAAAAGGAATGGTGAGGGTGATGAACTCACCGAACGGTGCCTACGATGGACTTTGTATGACGATCGGTGGCTGCTTTGACGAGTTAGTGAGCCATGTCTCACCTGCTGCGTCCAAAACCATATATTATACTAATTATATGCAAACTCTATCTATTATGTTCAAAAGATACATATTTTGCATCTAATCGTTCATATTATCATCACATTTAATGGTTACTTTAAATCATTGTATGTTTTATAACAGGGCTTCTTAAACTTTTGTCATTCACGACCCCATTTATGATTACGAGTTTCTTGACGACCCCATACAAATATTACTGCTGTCGGTGGAGATAGCTCAAAACCTTCAACAAATGCACGTGTCTARACGCTGCAAGTCCACTGTATTCCGCCAACTCTAGTGATGTTATAAAATGGTATATATAAATATTTGACATTAAAATTTCTCGCGACCCCAGAATTTTGCTACGCGACCCCATTTGGGGTCGCGACCCATAGTTTAAGAAGCCCTGTTCTATAATTAAATACCTTCTGAACAATGTATAAAATATCTGTAAAAAAGACTATTTCGTAGTGTTTACATTTCGTTAAAGTATTCTACTTTCACGATCTAAATGAAATATATTCTGGTATATATATAAATTGTCAACATATATATAAATATAAATATATCTTATATTTTTAATATAAGAAGAAGCTGTAATAACTCTTAGTACCTTCGTTGTATCAAGACTGTGGTCTCGATCCCTTGGCCGACGACTTGTAACTGGACTACCACCGGCAGATTGATCTGGTGGACCATGGGCTACTAAAGGTAAAGCACGCGTTGGATCTAAACGTAACTGCTTCACAATATCTTCAATTAACTCGATAAATGTCTCGCATTGAGATTGTGGCAGCAAATTTTCAGCAGCCTGCATAATGAAAACAAATTACACACATTATTAATGTATATATTATAGATTATATTCTGAAATATCACACTTCGAAGTACACATACCAAATTATTAGCAATATCAGTAGGTACCATGTCATCTCGATCAAATTTAAACGTAACAGTTTTTTGTTTACTAGTATCTAACTGACACTCAACAGTCATAGATTGACCTTCTCCACTACTTACTGACAAGACTGTTAATTTAATACCAGGCTTTTTGCGCTTAGTACCAGATCGTTTAACTCTATTTCTTTCGGAAGTTGTAACATTTTCTGAACTTTCAGAAATAACTCTAAAATGATAAATAATATGGTAACACATAGTAACAAAATACACATTGATTACTATTTAAATATAAGCTTACCCATCACTTGTAACTGCTGATTGTTGTGGTACAGTGCTTGCAGTAGCAATTGGCAATTGTTGATTATTTAATTGTTCTTGATGCATAGTTGATTGCAGATCCAATGGCAAGGATTGTACAGAGTCCATAGTATCTTGTTTAGTTAAAGATGATCTGTCAGCAATAGATGATTCAGCATTTGAAACAAAAGGTTGCTGATGTTGTGGTATATTAGCAGATGTCTGTATAGGACCACTTATTCCTGATGTCATAGGCATAGAGGTGGGCATAGAAGTAGGCATAGAAATAGGTATAGAGGTAGGCATAACAGTCCCACTTTGCGAATACTGCAATTGCACTACTATATTTTGTTGAGATTGTGGTTGATGACCAGTATTAGAGAGCATTGAAGGAGCACTTGCAATACTAGGCATTGTAGATGTTGCACCACTTTGTACATGAGTTACTGGCACTGAACTTTGAATATTCATTCCTGATGGTATTTGTGTTTGAACTTGTCCAGTTTGTTGTTGTATATATGGCTGAGAAGTTGCAGGAGCAGAGTTACCGGAAATATTTGTGTGTGAATAAATTTGTTGCGCAGTCTGAGTAGATGACAAAATTTCTACATGACCAGATGGATTATTAGAAGTAGCATATGTGTGGAATATTTGTTGTGGCATATTTTGTTGATATAAAGTAGAACTAGTATATCCTGTACTACCAGTTGTATTTTGTTGATAATATTGTTGACTTTGAATTGGTGGAGAACCAACTGGATGTTGATGTACTTGTTGAATATGTTGCATTTGAGATTGTGAATACTGCACTTGCTGTTGAGGTTGTGGTACTTGTTGATGCATATGCTGTTGTTGAGGCAACATCTGTACCTGAGATTGCAATTGTTGTTGAATCTGATGTGTTATTTGTTGTGGTACACTCATTTGATTTAATTGAATATATTGTTGAGGCTGATGTATATGTTGCTGTTGCATTTGTTGCTGTTGTTGTATTTGCTGCTGTTGTTGTATTTGCTGCTGTTGTTGTATTTGCTGCTGTTGCTGTATTTGCTGCTGCTGCTGTATTTGCTGCTGCTGCTGCTGTATTTGCTGTTGCTGCTGTATTTGTTGTTGCTGCTGTTGTATTTGGTGGTGCTGCTGCTGTATTTGCTGTTGCTGCTGTATCTGTTGTTGTTGTATCTGTTGTTGTTGTATTTGTTGTGTTACTGGAGGAAACTGGGGTTGGGCTTGAACATTTTGAGGAGTAGAGCATTGTGGTGAATTTGCACTCAGATTTTGCGGAACATGTGGCGAATACTGTTGTGGTTGATATTGCTGCTGTAATTGTTGATATTGTGGCTGTTGTTGATATTGAACTTGTTGTGCAGCTTGTGATGCTTGTTGTATTTGCTGAGCCTGTTGAGGCTGAACTACTGATGTTTGTTGCTGCATAAGTGGCTGCTGAAGTGGTTGTTGAACCAATTGTACTTGTTGAGGTTGTAAATTATGTTGTTGGCCTGGTTGTGAAGTTGATTGTAATTGTGACTGTTGCAATGGTATTTGATTTGGTTGTAATTGCATTTGTACTTGACTTTGCATTGGTATGCCCATGGTAGATTGAAGTTGTTGTTGTTGTAATTGCATTTGTTGTAGTATTAATTGTTGTTGCTGTAAAATATTTTCAGCAGATGTAGTACTAGTATCAGCTTCTCTATCTAAACGTTCTTTTTCTTCTTTAGCTCGTCGTTCTTCCCTTTCTCGTAATAAAGCAGCTATTTGTGATTTCAACATCTTAGCTACTGCTTTCGCATCTTCTTCTAATATAAGACTTGATTTAGCCATTTCTGAGGCAACTTCTTCTGCATTATCAGCTTGGATGTCGAAATCAAATTGGATTGCTTCATTTTCTTTATGTTTGTTTGTCCGTTTTTTTGGATCCAAAACTCTCAATCTGAATTCTACACGTGATAATTCGGCATCTGCTATAGCCGAATCACGTGATACCATCTCCAATTTTAATCCTATATCATCCGCAAAAAATTCATGATTTAAAAGATCTTTAACTAAAGGTCGTTCTTCCTTTTTTAAGCGAATGCACATTTCGATAATTTCACGTACTTCTGGTATGTCCACCTTATCGTAACTCTGAGGTTTAACACCCTATGTTGAAAAAATAAAATGATTTAAATATCGTTATATAACTTCTGTATGTATATATATATATATATATATATATATATATATATACTAGTACTATATATATATAAAAATATAAAATTATTGGAAAATAAGGAATATTTAAATTAGTCTATAGTAATATAATAATCGATTAAAATTGAAAAAAAGAGATTATAATTTTTGTAATATAAAAATCTATAAAAACTTACAGAAACAACACGTTTGTATATCTGCGCTGGACCTGTACATTCGGAATATGGATATTCACTCGTAGCCATTTCGAGCATACACATTCCGAATGCATAGACATCAACCGATTCATCATAATGTTCTTCATACATTTCTGGTGCCATAAATTCTGGTGTGCCAATAACACTTTTTGCAAAACTCCGATTTTTTAACGTAGCCAAACCTAAATCACCGATTTTCACACTGCCTGTAGTACCAGTTATAAATATATTATCACACTTTAAATCACGATGAATGATTGGAGGAGATCTAGAATGCAAGAAACTAAGTCCTTTGAGGATTTGACGGCACCAAGATTTTACAACTTTTGGATTAATTTTCTTGAATCTTCTTAAATACCTAAAATAATTAATAACCAAGTTAAAGATAGAATTTGTATTTAAAAGAAAAGAAAAAATATATTTTTTAATCTAAATTTACGTTTTTAATGTTCCTGATGTCATAAGTTCTGTGACTAGTACAATATATTTTCTACGTGTAAGCGTGACTTCCCAATAATCATAAAATCTAACAATATTAGGATGTTGGAGTCCCTTTAACATTTCCGCTTCTTCTCGAAATCTCAGTCTTTCTGTTTTATTTAATTTTTTCTCCTATAAACAAATATCAAATCTTTTCTAAATATTAAACCCATATTTGTTCGAATTATGAATATTTTTTATTTAGCGTTTCACTGACCTGAAGTTCACACCAAGCGACAGCTACTCCTGTTTGAGTATCTAAGCCACGATAAACAGTTTTAAAACTACCACGTCCAATTTCTTCTTCAAATTTTAAAAATCTTCCATCAGGTGAAATACCTATTGCTTTTTCCTCGTCGTCATCAATTTTAGCTTTTTGGACGCTTGCTGTCATTACTAGATTATGTACATCTTCCATAGCCATTGCTTTTTGACTTAATTTTTCATCTGCTTTAAAATTTTCATCAAGTAAAGGCCCAATGAAACCTTCGTCAGTCTCTTCATGCGTAGCTGTTTCTTTTTGAGGAATTTTCTCTCCATCTGTCTCTTTTTGTGAATTAGTATTCTTCATGACTTCTATATCTGTATCCAGTGGTGGAACTTTTCCTAATTTACTCAAAGACTCGTGAAGTGCTTGAGTTGCTACTATATCACTAATACTAGTACCATTATCGTCTTCATCATAAATTGTTACACCTTCATCTTCAACTCTTTGTGTCTCTGTTTCGTTACCTTCTGAATCTATTATTTCTTCTGAAACTTTAGATGTAACAAATCTGGAATTTTTTACTACCTCTTCATTTGATTTTTCTTTATTACAGTCTTTAGGCATTGATTCCATTTCTAAACTATTTACAGCAGCAGATTCAGAGCAATTATTAGATGATTTTCTTCTTGGATTTGCATTTACGGTATTTATGGACGTTTCTGTGGACGTTGTTGTAGAATCTATATTACTTTTTACATTAATTTCTTCTATTGTCTTAGAATTATGTAATTTGTTTACATCTTGTGGAATAGATTTATTTTTAGATCTTAAAGATTTGTCACCATCATTATTCCTTTTACTTGCACTAGAAGACGAGGATATTTTTGTATTGCTGTGTTCAATCAAATCTTCACTAATATCATCTTTTTTTATTTTTGGCTCTACTGTATCTGTTATGGTACATTCTGAAATTTCTGTTGTAGATGTTTCTTTCTCGTAAACACCAGAAAACATTTTCGAAATATTATGTTTTAATAATTCTGTGCACTCTATATGTATATTCGGTTCTATAGTCACTTCATCTTCAGTTATTCTTTTCGATTTTACTTTACTCATTGGTGTGGAAGGTGTGGAACTACATCCTGAATATGAAAATTAATATTTTTTTTATTCTTTATTATACATCATGATTCATATCTTAATAATCTATGTATAATCATTAAATCTTACCCGATACTTTGAACACATTCTCTGTTGCAGTAATAGCCTCCTCTGCATCACTAAAGCTATGATCATTTTCATGATCTAAGGAGGATGAATCTTGACTTCGAGAAGATGACTTTTCTGAAATACGAACACCAGACAAACCCTTCTTCTTAGAAGAAGGTGAACTAGTTGGAACACCGTTGCTAGTTATGGACAATGAATCTGCATTTTGTTCAACTCGCTGCATTCGAATTTGCTTTTTGCAGATTGTAGCAGAAGGACGACTTGACAGAGCCTATAAAGAAATTTATATATTTAGTAAAATAGTTTTTTTTTTCAATTTCATAGTATAATATTTATTATATAAAATGTACCTTTCTTTCAGAAGAACTACTAGAACTAGAAGCAGTTCGAGAAACAATGGACTGCTTTCTTTCCCGTCTATGATTATGCGAATGATTGTGAGTTCTTTGTGTTGTAACAACTGGACAAGGATTTCCTCCTTCTTGAGAGGCTAAGTGGCCCACTGACAAACCAATGCCACCCTGGCTGCTACCACCCCCACTGGCCACCAGCTTAGGACATAAACTAGACAGGCCACCACTGGTACCACCTGATGAACGTTGCCTGTTTGTCTCATACCTAAAATCCAATTAAAAATCATGTTCAATTCTAGAATTTATTTTATGTTATGCAGAATAGTAAGATAGAGCTTAAGGTAATTTCAAACAAATCATAATATAATAACATCTAACACATAAACTTATAAGCAATTATGAGTTATTTAAATAAATTCAAAATTAAATTTGCATAATTATAAAGATTAGCAGTATTAATATGATTACGTGTTTTAATTAGATTAAAAATGAGTGTGCATATTTTATTTAACAAATAAAACTTAAAATCAAAAATAAAGTTAAAGAAGCGTGCGTCCAGAGGTGCATATCATAATATTCTTGAACTGTGTAGAAATGTAAATAAATGTATATAAAAGCAAAAAAACAGAAAAATAATATAAAATTTAAATGATAATAGTCTTTACTGTAACCTATCAAAATATCAAATTAAATAAAAAAAAAAAAAAAAAAAAAAGAAAAAAAGTGTGAATGTAAAAAGCATGATTTTTGATACAGACATCATTATACCTGTCCTGCCTGCTGTGGCCAGATGAGAGAAGACCACGCACTGTGTTGCCTATAGCTGCTCTCTTTTTAGTCTCCTTTTCTCGTTCTCTGTACCCACCAGATCCAGTGCTCACCTGATGCTCTTGACGAGTACTTCTATCAGTCTGGAAAAAAGAGGGAAAAATAATATAAAATTATATTTAATATATTTTTTTGTATGATATTGATAAACAATAATTGAAGTACATTATAATATGCTTACCTTAATATTTAAAAGTTTGATATTCAAATTAGAATTCGTATTTGTTGGTACAGGACTAAGATCGCAACGAACTCTTCTATGCGATTTTCCAACCACTTGTGGTTCTTCTTCCAAATCTAATTGATTTCCAATTGCAAAAACTTGAGTTTGTGTCAGCACAATATCTTCACTGCTGTGTTTTTGACTACTACGCACCGAACTCACTGCCTTGTTTTCATTACAACATCTCGGCATTGCACATAACCAACTTTTAAGAATTTGATGGTTAAAATATTGACCAATTTTGAATGTAAGTATTTACTTTTGTTTAATAAATAAGTAATGAATATTCTTCTCCTTTGATTTCTTTTTAAACTAATTATAATATAATGCCTTCAAGCCTGTCTTCAAAGATGTAAAGAATCAAAGAAAGCTTTATAATATCAGCTTTTCAATAATCTTAACTTTATACATAATTTCTATAATCCTTAACTTTTAATTAACATGCCATGCCAGATCACTCGATGAAATCTGAAATCAAATAGTAAATCAAATTAAAAAACGATTAATGTAGCATGTCTAGATATATTAAAGATTAAAAATGAAAATATGTCAAAATTAATAAAAAATTATATAAAGTGTAATTTTGTGAAACTATTTAAATATTTAAAATAAACATATACATAAAACGCGCACACACACACACATATTATCTATTAAACAATAATTATTTACAAGCTATGTTCTTTCAATATAGGTACAAAAAATAATATTACCATAAACAAAATATTTTGTAAATTAAATAATAATTTATGCCAAAAAAAGTATTTACTATAGCATTATAAATAATTATTAATGTTAAAAATACCGGTTAACAAATACTTGAAAAAAGAGAACTGAAAAAGTCTGCTCTACTCAATTTGCTCTTTCCAAGTATTTTTTGACCGGTTTTGCAACGTGTGGTATAGTGTTTCATACAGCAGATTCAATTTGTTATGTTATAGATCTAGATCATTGTGTCTGGATCATTTTTCTTTTAAGCTCGGTTCAAACATATTAGTTGTAGCCAATAACAATTGCCAGAGATGGTTTCAGACATTCAACTGGTTGCATCAGTTCATAATACATGATACTCTTGTAATCCCACTAAATCAATTTCCTTCTTTTTGAACGATTCCCATTGCATACAGATATTTTTCAACAGTGGATCGATCAACATTTAATTCTTTTAATTACATTTTAAATACTACATAATATGGGTTTTCATCGAATAATGCTTACAAATTTGTTTGGTACACCTTCCCATTCATTATCACTCACATTGAAATTATTTTGCTGAATTTGCAGAAACCATTTCTTACAAATTCTATTCAATGGAAAATGCTCACCATAAATATACATGAGCAAATGATGCGTTTTCACAGCATTTTTCTTTAAAATGAAATAGTGAAATAAAATTTCCTAGCAACATTGCTTCATTGGAATTAATTTTGACGTTTTCAACGCGAACAAAATAACTATTGCTTATGCTTCAAACGAATGTCATCCACTATGTTTGGAAGCTAACACGCACACTTTTCAAATATATGTATAATATATATATTGTTGTTTCAACACACTTGATGTCCTGTTGCTGACAAACACGCAAGCAATACTACTCATGATATCTTTAAAAAAGGGCAGAAATTTATTCCCATATGCAATATTAATATTAATATCAGTAGATGGTAAAAGTATTATGTACACAATTACAATGTGTGGGCAATGTTATCAATATTCATCATATAAAATACCTCCAAGACTCCACAGTGTAGTCTTTTAAATTATTCACTGTCCTTTGTGTATATCATTTTAAAACAAAAGTTTTGATATGACCCAACAATCTATAATATTACGTCTTTTCTTAAACTGGCTTTTAACATCTCAAAATCTCTTGTTGCAGGAATGGCCTTTAATCCGATACATTTGTTGTCTTTGTATGCCGTAAAGCAAAATCAAAATTATTGACATATTTAAAATAAAAAATTAAGATTACAAAAAACGAGACTTTTACAATATTATTTTGCACTCTGGACTTCTTGAAAGAGTTTTCTGATAGTGAAAAACAAATAGATTAAAAGTCAGTAGAAAAGAGAAAATTATTTTGTCCTAAATGTGGGTGCATAGTCCAACTCCAAATTGTGTTTCTTCCACAAACATTCTGTTCAAAGCAAATATTTAATACGTTCAATATATACCAAAAATATAACATTATATATGTAGAAATAATTGTTATATCAGTACGATATAATTTTAGAAAGATAATTTAAAGTAAATAATTACAGAGTATTTATTTTCTACAATATAAGTTAAAGTAAATTTAAAAAAAGAAAAGTGAAACTATATATATATATATATATTGACCTACTTTTTTTTATGTATAGTTAAACGATAATTTAATTTATTATTATTTGAAACAAAATTAATTATAATCTTTATTTTAATCTTACAGTCTCTTATATTATATCAGTGCTTTTTATGAATGTATAAGATAAGTGCATTTTAAGCACATAATATCTTTTGTATTAACTTTACGAGAAGCTTTTCAAGAATATGAAATATATATGGTATGTTAATATAGAGCTATTAAAATATTTTTCAAAATATTATGCATGTTATAGAAAAAAAAAAAATGTAATACTAATTAATACAATAAAAGTTTTGCTATGACTTATAAATGTATTATTATTAAAATTTAATTTGAAGTATTTTAATGATATAAATTAATTGAAACTGAACATTTAAATTGCTTATGCAGTTTCTATCATGCGAAAATTTCTATACCACACAGATTATATAAATTTAACTTCATCAATAGAACAATGCTGATCATATCCACTTGCCAATAAATATAAGAGGAACTATCGTCGTTATTAGCACAGTAGTTATATATTATATACTGTCTATAGTTTAAATCGTAAAGCAAAGATATGCAAATATTCATCTGTCCGATCGCTTAAATTGCAACGCAAAATGCAAATTAATGGACCGCGAAGGAAAGAATTTACCACATTAAAGGCGTAGAATGTAATTAAGTATCATGGGACAGACTCGAAAAATGTTGACAGTATATAGTCGGTCGGTATATAGTACATCTTTACATACACACAGAGACGCGTGTGTGTAAAATATACGTATCTCACGAGTACTATTGCGCCGCATGCTATACGCACAGCGTATGCACATTATACACGTAGATAGAAGGAATAATACACTTACACGCCGCAAATCAAATAACTGCACACAATCGTACACGCACATAGAGAGACACTGAGATAATGTGACATCTATCTCAAAAATATCGTGTCCTTATATATTTTGTATATTGTCTGATCGAAAGAAATTTAGAATTGTGTGAAAGAGATTAAATTTTGTCTATTTCGAGAAAAATAATGATCTTTTAATATAGTTTTGACTGATAAATCTGAGCAAAAAGATTGTTGGTACTTCTTGTTATGCGAAAACGAACAGTACCCTCCTACCAATGCCGAGCTATCCAAATGAAAATATCGAGTATCCGACTTATTTTAATATTCTCATTACCTCCAATATAAATTTGATCATACTAGCTTTGTGATGCACTGACAAACAGCACTCGTAATCCTTTAATCTGCCGGTACTCACATTTGTGCTGCAGAAAATCTCCCGACTACACCCAAATAACCACCATTTTTTTTTACTGGTTGCTACGCTCTCTTGCGGTATTATGTGCAATACAATCGTTGTATTTAAGTCTCGTTTCGAAAGTAAATACTCGACCTCCGAATATATATTTTTTCTTTGTAGTTTGATGAACTTTCTTACAAAATTTTGAAAATAACCTCTCAAATTAATAAAATTGTTAAAAAATTATAGTATTTAAATTATCAAGTACTTACTATATGAGATACTTTTCCATCTCTAAATATCAACTGTAGCAACAACCAACTGTAGCAATAACTAACAACATAATAAGCAAACGTGATCACATCCAGCTGTAAGCATGTTAACTACCACCACCACGAAATTACACAGTCCTAAAATCATTACAACTTTACCAATTATAAGCTCAATGAGAAAAAAAAAACTATTTAAACTAAGTAACTATAAATAAAATTTTGTCCAATTGGTCGTATATATAACGTGATTATAGTATTGGTTTTCAGCCATTTGACTTGGTTAGTTTTGAAATGTAACCAGTACAATTTAGGAAATATAAAAAAAAGAAAAACTGTCTTGGTTTTAAAGTTGAGTAAATGAACATCTTAGATGTGTCTAATCGGTGTACGTAGTTGCGATCAAATTTTAAGTAGTCAAAAGTTTTCTTCAAGAAGATTTGAGTATAAAAAATTGATCAAATTAAATATCTTGAGGATAACAATATATTAGAATGTTTATAATTAGAAAGAGCTTGCAATATGAAAATAAAATATTGCAAAAATATATATGTAAATATTAATAGTATCCATAATTATCAACGAAGTATATTATAAGAAAATTATATAAACTTATTTGATGCATGCATAATATATGGAATTTAAAAATAAAAATAATAATTTGAGATATGACATACTACTATTTTAATCACAGTTAAATTAGGTTAGCAATGAAACTTACACTTGTAAAGATATATAATTTAACGATTCTTTTCTAACTTGATTTGTAACGAGCTTTAAAAAATAAAAATGCAGATTCTCATTTAAAAGTGAATGAGTTATCACGAATGTATTTGTATTCGTACCGCTTTTGATTATAGGCTCCATGGTTTCACCAATTGCCGTTTATAGATCGTCTAGGGAAATAATATAAAAGTTAAGATTACTAGTAAAGATCTCTTTACAAAATTACAGTAAATTGTATGTATGATTTTCAAGGTAATTTACAATGTCATTAGATAAGATGTATTTTTTTAAATAAGGATTTAAATTAGAGTTCGATTAAGATCGAACGAAATACAAATAAAGATGATACAAAATGTTAATTAGTCGATCAGATTTAAATTAAAATAAGAGCCAACTGCATAAATATTATTTCGTGGAATTCTGAAAAGCACCATGAGACTTGAATGCGTGTGTTTTCTCACGTATAAACGTAAAGTATCCAGCATTGTGCGCTAGTAAGTGGATGTTCCTACGTCGAGCTACGCCGAGTATGTTCATATGGTAGTTCGTGGCTTGGTGTTATGTAGGGTGCTGTCATGAGAAAAATTTGAAGCAAAAGTTTTGTTTTGTGTTCAAAGTCAGTGATAAATCGTTAGGAAAATGACTCAAACGATGACAGCTGATTTGTAGGGATTAATGAAATTGAAGAAACGAAAGAGTCTGTGCGCGCAGTGCGTGAATATGCCCGCCAAGGTCTCAAAGAAGGTCGTAGGCATGATCATACGAAGCCGAAAGTCCATCATGAAGGATGGAGTCATTACGGTACTGAAAATTTCATTGAATTACATTTTAACCTACACAAGTGTCTAAAGTACCTGATAATCCCCCCATTTTTTATATTTAATCTTCTTCTGGAATGTTATAAAATCATAGGATGAGCGCGAACAGTCTATGCGGAAGTCCATGTTTACTTTTGTGATTATAGTTTATAATTATTTTATAGAATATTTTCTCTTTTTAAAATATATTTTAATTATTCCTATTTTATTGCAATTCTTTTATTTGTTAAAGAACAAGAAAAACATATGGTATTTATTAATACACTATTTATGAAAATTATATTTCCTCTATTTGGTCTATCTTTTTCTTTTACCTAGTAACAAAGAGTTATTATTTTGCTCTTGATTGCGCTGCATCGTGTGATTGATATATATATAGAATATTTCTTAATTGATATTGTAATGGTATATAAATATTGGAACATTATCATATCTTTAAAGACGTATTCTTTTTTCATTTGTATTATATGTCTCTGCAGTGCTCTTTTCTTTTATTTATAAGATAAGAATGGCACAGTAAAGACCATTAGTAAACAAAATTATAATATGTTATATTTTTTTTCCAATCCTATTATAGCGTCTGGTCTCTTATTAGTTTTAGTTTTTGTTTTCCTCGAAACTTTTATCTAAAATTTTATTCATCTAGATATATTTTTTCTTAATTTAACTTACAAAAGAATATTTCATTAACATTTACGAATGACATTCATACAATTAGGAAAAATTAAATAAGCTCGGTAATAAGTACAATATGGCAATAAAATATATCCAATGTGATAAGACAAATTTCTTAAAACGCACATGTTTATGTTATATAAAATATAATCTCGTTGACGTTAAACAATAAACCATATATAATTAACATTATAATATAATATAATATAATATAAAATGAAAATATTTAAAGTATGATGCAAGCGAGAACAAGAAAGAAAAAGAGGAAAAAAATAGAAGAAATAACCTAAGTTATGAAAATTACTCAAGTTTAGATTAAATAAGAAAAAAGACGATGAAAAAAATAAATGTTCATCATTAATGTAAAATATTATAAATAGTTGTCACCATTCGACATTATTAAATCGATCGTACTACGGCTTTCTGTGTAATAAAGTTTCCGTGTATATTGATCGGTGACAACTAATCGCCACGTACATACGTACGCAGGTATGATATTTAACGAGTGTTTATCAAAAAACGTGACACAGTCATCGTAAGTCTCTATGATTACGGAGAATATCTCAATTTCGTCTGAAGTGGAATAGTTTGGTGCGTAATCTAAATTAATAATTCAATACTATGAAGTGGTTATGGGATTTTTCTGAAGTTATATCGAATCGAAAGTGTTACGACGAATAGAGTATAGAATGGCATAGAAGTAGTAGAGTGGGGGGTCAGTGGGAGAGAGTTGCAATGCAGTGGTTGTGTTATCGCGAAAATGTTCGTTTAATCATAATCAAAGTAACGAAGATTTGTTCAATCTCAAGCCGAGAAAATTTCTTTCGAAGCATGTGATCGTATGTAATTTAGTCGAAATTAAATCGATTAATGTACGCGAGTTTAAAAGACGTTAGAGAACGAAATGGAATATACCTCCATCCGACGTAGAAATTGGTCTTCGATATGCATGTTGCGTTTTCTCAAAAGATACGTCAACCGGTGAATATTTTCGACATTCTCAGAATATCAGATTTTCTTAGAACGGTTATCACGTAACTCTATATCGGACATTAATTGTCTCGATTGCGGAACCGCATGACGTCACGCCTCGACCGTGAGTCCGAAATCAAGGCTGCAGAGGTTCATCTGTCAAAAGGACATTTGAACATTTCAAAGAATTTCATCTCATCAATTCGGAAATTAGCACTCTGAATTTACTTATATTTACCGACGTATTATCTTATTATATATATATATATATATATATATATTATATAGAAAGATAAATAAAATAGTAATTGGGAAAGAAATTTGTTAAATGAAAGAAGAGACAAGTAATCGAAAGAATAATTATTAGCAGGCTTTTTAAAATTTTTATCTGCTAGCTATGTGCTACTATTGTCTAAGGAGCACCTTTCGTATTTATATGAAAGTTTATTTATTATTAAGTGTGGTTATTATATGCAAAGCGGCAGGAAGTATTATCAAAATGCATACAAGTAGATGATTTTTTGTTCCAATTTGAGGGATCATTAAAAAGGATTTAAAATTACAATAAAAAGCTTTCGCTAAGGCATTAAGATAAATGAGTTGATATGTGCGTTGTACTGCCAATCAAGTAATTTTTGATGCTTCTAAAGCGATCACAGAAATAAATTCTGGCATTCATAGATAAGTGAAAAAGCTAAAGATAACTATCCTTTTACATGTAATCTTATGCTTCGTTTCTGAAAACAATTAGCATTCTTCATGATACAATGAAGTGATGTTCCTTTTTAAAGGTTGTACAAAAAACTTGCAAAGAATACTTATTTGCACTTGTAATGCTTGTGATATATATTAAGAAATTAGATCTAAGATAACTCTATCGATAATGAAATTCTTAAATGTAATATAATTACATAAGATGTGAAACGAATTAGCACAAAGAATATGGTGCTCTACTTAATCCGCTATATAAAGCAAATGTAATAAAAGAAAGATAAACTATATATGTTTCGAACACTTGGTCTAAGAAGACTGTGAAAATTGACCACACAAATTGCTTAAGAGAAGTGCATGCATGTATATAAATGTACTTATTAATAGATATAACAGATATGGTATTATTTAATGTAATTTATACTCAAAGATTATGCAATGAGATTATATTCATAATATGATCTTAATGAGTAAAAGTGTGATTAAACAAAAGTATATGAAAACTATATAGACGAAAAGATTTTTAAGATTTTAGTCAACAAAACGTTGAGCACATAATTTTTTCAAGATAAGTCACAAATTTATGAGATGCAAATAAATATTTGTATTATATGGATTTTAATAAAAGATAAAATGAAACATTAGTAAATAATTAAGTATGAAACAAAATTCGTATAGTAACAATTCTTAGGGGTCATGCCCCCTGGGGCAAAAGGGGGAGCAGAGGGCTTGGGCCCTTCCTGTTCTGAAATTCACAATAATCAAGAACACGCTATTGCAAAATTTACACCTCCCTTTACATTTGCCCAACAATGCTACAGGCACCTTAAGGTTTCATTTGCTATTTATAATTCCATTATCTGTAATTCTATAGCTAATAATAAATTATTGCTATTTAGTAACATTGTATATTCTTTTATTTCACAGAGTTCTGGGGTAGGAGAGGCAAGCGTATATCATGCATTGGTTGTAATATTTTTGGAATTTTTTGCATGGGGTTTATTAACCATGCCTATTATTTCTGTATTAAATGAAACATTTCCGGATCACACGTTCCTCATGAATGGTTTAATAATGGGCATCAAAGGGATTTTATCTTTCCTTTCGGCGCCATTAATTGGTGCTTTATCAGATGTGTGGGGTCGAAAATTTTTCTTACTTATCACAGTGGCCTTCACTTGTGCACCAATTCCACTAATGAGTATAAACACATGGTGGTTTTTTGCTATGATTTCCATAAGTGGTGTTTTTGCTTGTACTTTTTCTGTAGTATTCGCATATGTTGCCGATGTTACAGAAGAAAATCAAAGATCATTGGCATATGGTTTAGTAAGTTATACTTTTTTATATTATACTTTTCTACAAGAATTTAAAATATCTTCTAAACTAATGTTATTTTATTAGGTTTCTGCAACTTTTGCTGCTAGCATGGTAATCAGTCCAGCTTTAGGAGCTTATACCATGACAAAATATGGAGAAAATTTAGCAGTTGCATTAGCAACAGCAATTGCAGTCTTAGATGTTTTTTTCATATTAGTAGCTGTACCTGAAAGTTTACCTGAAAAAGCAAGACCACCAGCACCCATATCATGGGAGCAAGCTGATCCTTTTGCAGCTCTAGGAAAGGTAAATGTCAAAGAAATAGAAGGATATTAGTATTTCTACAATATTTTGTTACTATTGAGATCATGGAATGAAATTAATGATTTAAAGAATGGATATTTTTTTATTTAACTTTTTATTCAATATTTCTTATGTTTTCTATATACGAAAAACACATCAAAACGAAACTTCTATTAAATAGAAATTATTATTTTTTATCACCATACAGTGTTCTCACATATACATCATTTGTCTTTGTGATAAAATAACAACAACAAAAACATAAGGTATAAATAAGCTTCGTCCAACATTCTTCGTGTTTCTTTAAGTAAAAGAAATCGGATAAAGAATAATCGAAGGAATAATTTTTGTTCTTTTTATCATTTAATAATTCAAACAGTTACATTTATAATGATGATTATTTTTTATTATATCAGGTTGGAAAAGATCATACAATTTTGATGCTGTGCGTCACTGTGTTCCTGAGTTATCTTCCTGAGGCAGGTCAATATAGTTGTATTTTTGTCTACTTAAAATTGGCTATGGGATTTTCTGCTGCTATGGTAGCATGGTTTATTGCTGTCGTTGGAATATTAAGCGTAGGGGCTCAAATAATATTAGGACCTTTAATGAGAACCCTTGGTAGTAAACACACTATAATGTTGGGTCTCTTGTTTGAGATGTTACAACTCATGTGGTATGGCTTCGGTTCACAAACATGGTAATGCCACTTTTATGATTATTTTTTTAATTAATTATATTTTTTACAAGCACATATTATGTTATGTGGATTACTTTTTAAATTATTAAATATAAATTTTCATATAAATTGATTGTAATTTCAAGGATGATGTGGGCAGCAGGAGCTCTAGCATCTGTATCAAGTATCACATATCCTGCAATTTCTGCATTTGTATCAATGCATTCGGATGCTGATAAACAGGGTTTGGTACAAGGAATGGTGACTGGAATGCGTGGTCTCTGTAATGGTCTGGGACCTGCAATGTTTGGTGTAATCTTCTATCTTTTTCATGTTGATCTCAATGATGACTCACCCTCCCTTCCTTTGAAACCATCTCTTTTGGATGAGAATAATAGAACGGGAACTGCCACACAACATCTTGATATTATGCCTCAGGTATTAATCGATAAGTTAGAAAGTATTGATATGTGATATAATAATTATGGTAAAGTATTTATTGGAAAAAAACTAAAAAAATATATTTTTCAGCTTGTACCAGGTCCACCATTTGTATTTGGCGCATTGCTAGTGATTTGTGCATTACTGGTTGCTGCATTCATCCCTGAAACTACCACAATGGCAACTGGAGCATTACATCATCCATCCACCTCCCGGAGGCCCTCCGGTAAATACGCATATCAGAAATGTACGTTACAGGTTGCCACATACACTAAGAAACGAATGTGTTTGGTGGTGGGTTTATTTTGAAGTTCTAACGTCAGGAATTTATGTTGAAAATAACATATATTTACCCATATATTTACCCATATTATTAACCACAATAATATTTAAATAATATATATAGTTTTTAATACTTTTTAAAATAATTACTTCAAAATATGCAACATATATGAATGAGTGTGTATATATACATGCTTTTATATTATCGATAAAATGTATTAATTACAGATTAAAATGTTTCATTTTATATTTAAAAAGTTCTATCTTAAATCAGTAAAATACTTTTTACAGGTTTGTCCTTGGACGTTCATTATGAGCCAGATAGGATGGGAAGTGGAAGAGGAAAGGTAGGACCACTATCACCACTAGTCGACAATTGCAACTCTGCTGCACTATAGCTACTGATGAATTCAAAGACAGTTACTGTTCATGGGCAAGATATATATTCTCACAAAATGATGAAACATTAATCAGTGAAGTGGTCACCGGTGTAAAGTGCACCAACTTCAAAGAGATTGTAATAGATTTGTCTATAATGTATTATACTATTTCTTTAAGTCAATAACTAAGCTTGATTTTAGGACTATCAATCAACTTAATATTTAGGTTGTAATTTCCACAAGCAGTGCTTGTGTGATAAAGAAAGGGTTCTTTAAAACAGATGCAGCCCTATTTGAAACAGAGTTTTGTTATATATATATATATATATATATATATATATGAAAGAAAAAAGCAATCAAGTTGCTCTGTTCTTTTTTAAAAATTCTTGAATCAAATTATATTATATTAGAGATCAGCAATTTCGAGACAACAATCAGTAATTACTAGTTTGCGTAGCTTGCCAATAGCAATACAGCACAAAATGGCAAGACAAATGACAGTATTTTTAATAGACTTCTAACTTGTGTCATATTCTTTATTTAAATACCCTTTTATTGATTTAATAGCAAATACAAAAATATGCAAATTTAATTTTTATTAGCCGAACTATATGATAATACATTTTGCCGATAATACATTACATTGTAATGTGTAAGAAAACATCCATAAATTATGCAAAAGCATTAGGATGAAAATAGTAAAAAGTTTCATTTATTTCTTTCGTAACACTCACACATTCCTAATAATAAATACGCAGTATATTAATTAAAAAGTTACTGCTTTTTTTTTTTTATATTGTAGAAAATATTGAAATCTTGAACACTTTTACCATTAGAAATTATATTTTGAGTGCATAAAAGTCTTTTCTTTTGTTGTTGTCATTGTAGTTATAATATTTAAAATCCATATATTTCACCAAAGTTAAAAGATATGTTCTGTAATTTTCTATTGTTTTATTTTGAGCATAGCTATTTCTACCATAGTACAGTTTTCATTTTCAAGCAGAAGTAGTTGCGCACTTCTGCTTTTTTAATTATCTTATGCAAGATTTAATTTTTTAAAATTTACAGAATGTATAAACTACTTTTTTTCTGCACAAAATATTTATCATTTACTAATTATTAAATGTCAGCATGAATGAAAAGGCCTTAATGAATATAATACACTTTATATAAATTTTGTCATTCTAAGGCAATAAGACAAATTAAAGAAATTCTAATAAAACATTATTGTGTAGCCTAATTTTTAATTAAAAACTTATAGTATGACCAATATGTTAATCTTACATAAATTCAAAATCATCAAGATTCAAGGAACATATTGGTGAAATAATTGTGCATTTTATTTTAAATTGTGAGTGGCTCTGTGTTGAATTTAATTCTTTTGCTTTTCCTCAAATTTTCAAATAACTTATGATCATGAATATGAGTTTTCAGTTCGTATTTGTATATATGATTTTTGTCAAAGTAATGTTTTAAACAATACTTTATTTTAAGTACATGGAATATAACACTTTCAATTGGTTACATAAATCATTCTTGCCTGGCTTGCATCAGACTGTTAATGCCATTACTAAAAGAAATAAATTAACAATAAGAATAAAAAGAAAGACATTCGGTCTTTTAATGCCAAAGAATAAGAAATAACAGAAAATTGTCTTGGAAACTATGGTGGATATAGATAAGAAAACAATATATTTCTGCAGAAAATGTTGGATATCCCAGTAAGGAAGGAATACACTTTTATATGATCTCAACTTTCTCCAAGAATTTTTCTGTTTTCCGATTTAATATGATTGTTTTAGAATTTAATTAAAAAGTATTGAAATTACTGTCGACCCAAAGTAATGAAAAAAATATATAGAGTATATTCTTGTATTATTTCACTTATATCTCTTATATCTCTTTTTTTCCCCCATTTTTAAGTAAAAATTAATTTTGTATATGTATATAAAAAGAAAGCTTTCGTAAAATATAAAATTATTCTATATATAAACTAAAAAATAAGCAGCAGATTTCTTGGAGAATGCAAGTATAAATAGTACAGACACAAATGTACACTGTTGTTGTGTGTATTAATTTCTAGAAATCCTTTAGTAACATGCTCTTATTCAGTGGAGTACATATATGCAATTGTATCATACAAAAAACATCATGAAATGAATATAAAATATAATGTTAAATATAAGTAGGTACTAATGTCATGACTTGACTCTTCCCTGAGTTAAGCAGTTGTATATGTAAAATGTATGATGTGTGGGTGCGCTAATAAAAAAGAATATTTTTAAGATAAAAGAAGGTATGCCTAAGATAATAGCTCTTCTTTCATGATTTGTTTTTTTATTATTATTTACGCTTTAATTACTTATATTTTACAGACTGTTGTAGAATGCAGTTCCCCACATTGTTATGCACTTTGAGTTATATTTATTGTATTTTGTGAAATAGATGTTAGCGTAGAACCACTTTGCTGCCAAGATTCTATTGCTTTATTAACTATTAGTTCAGACATTTTTTCAGTTATCTAAAAAAAGAATAATTATATTAGATAATTGTCAAACAACAGTTATAGACTATTAATTGCCTTTCAATAATTAATTTACATTATTGATTGTGCTTAATACACTATCTATACTATCAGAGCGTAATAGAACACGCCTAAGAGTGTTTAACATAATCACAGCCACAAAGACCAAAATTTTATATGCTCCTACAGTTATTTTGTCCCATATCCTATAATTTGAAAAACAATCAGTGAATTTCTATAATATAATTATGATTACAGCTTATACGAATTTATAATATATACAATATAATCATATATTCCCTATTATTTTATTAATAATGTTTATCCTCAACTCTATCATATACTTACTTGGGTATAGATCCATTACATATTGTGCCTGCAAAACATGAGCAAAACCACATATCAAATGGAAGATTATGAAGAGCTTCAATTTTTGCCAAATGTTTAGATAATTCTGGATCTTCTCTTTCTAACAATGTACATGTACATTCTTGTAATCTACCAACTTCTGCATGAAATTTTTGTACCTGATTTAAAAATCCACATAGTATCCAATATACATCTACCAATCTGTCTTGTCCAGAATCAATATCTATGATATGCCAAAGCGCCTCAGCTATTCTACTCATCGCCCTAATACAAATGTAATCTAAATTGTACATTGCATTTGTACAACGGTTAGAATATGTTTTTTTTTAAATTGCTTTTATACTATATTGCTATATATATTATAACAAATATGGCTAACCTATATAAAGATGTTTCCAATTGTGTACTCATGTCTATCTTTGTTTGTCTAGTTCGTAGAAGCCACATTGTCAGTAGTATTAAATGTGGTTTTGTATTGTCTTCCAAAATTCTTGTTACTTTAAGAGCTTTTTGTAAATCTTCATATTCTGCTTTACGTTGTTCCATTATAAATTCATGACTTTCTATATAAACAGGTATAACGTCTAATAATATTTTCCATATTAAATTTCTGTACATAGCAGGGACAGTAAATCTTAAACAAAACTGTTTTAATTTCATTTTATCAAATGGATGTTCTTTCAACAATATCTCCAATGATTTTTTTTCTTCGACACTACGAAATCCTACCTATATTATAGAAAGGAATCATATTAGATTGTATGTTTTAAGTGAAAGGTGTTAGGAATAATTAAAAAACAAGAAATTAAATTTATTTAATGACTTGTATATTAAGAGGTTGAAGTTTAATTCTACTTACTTTTTCATAATACGAAGATCGAAAATTTCGTTCATCTGTCATTTTGCTAATAATTACAATTTTTGATGAAATTATATGTGAATAAAACTTATTATTTAATAAGTCTATAATAATAAGTGATTATTTACACATTTTAATTCACATATATTAAAAATCATCTACACTTTTATGTTCCTAATAAACTATACAAGCAATAATCAAATAAATCTATTATAATATCTGAGCAGTACTCAGAATTATAACTATGTCACATGCAATCAGCTGATCGTATTAAACACACATTCAAATGAAATAGAACCATTGGGCGGTACTCATGATCTATTCTCAAGATGAAATGGATACAACCAATCATATTTTATTTTAAAGTGAATGATGGACTATTTTCGAAAATATGTGCTTAATTGAATTTTCGCTAGGTGGTGACATTTCATTGTAAGCTGTGGCCGTCACGCCAAAGCTTGGCGCCTCCGGCACTCTTACCGTCACGCCCCTAGTGGCGAAACAAAAGAACTAAAAAAAACACCACGCATTTGAACAACCGCTGCTATTCGCTCTCTTCCGTTCCAACCACCGAGCTAGACACACGCGTACTCATGAGCAGTAAACAAAGACGTGAAACTAGTCACTACTTCCTTTTTACTCTTTAAGATTTTGTTAAGTTTGTTATATATTTTGTACAAGACCTTTTTGATACGTTTTATAATAAAATATTTATATAATATTTTTCCCTAGTGAATTAGTGATTTCCTAATATAATTGAACACGCTACAAAGCTGTGGGGAATCAGGACGGTGGACAAAAGGTTATCTGGAAAGTTTATATTCGCTTTCTATATATATTTACCAACGAGAAAGTATAAAATTTATTATTAATATTAACAAGTACACTCTTGGACGCTATATATATAACTAATTTTAAATCTTGATTCCGGTGGTTCTCGTATAGGGAGAAAAGGCGCTAGTGTACCACGTCGGTATGCTAGGTGCGTATCGCTACAAAGCAATTAATAAAAAATTCTAACTTATAAGTTCAACACGTGGTTGAATACAACGCTGGGATTCCGATGAATTGTTAATTGATGTATTTTTATAATAAAAGTATACATGGTGCATATAAATTAACATTTTAAAAATGAAAATTAAAGACTCTCGTAAGGTAATGTTAATTGACACAGAGTTTAACAAAGTTTTCATACACACACAATTAATTTCACAATTAATTTTCCTTTAAACATAAACTCAAATAAATATAAAAATAAAATTATTTTTAGGTAGGGAAAAGAAAGGAGTTGAAAAAAAAAACTGTTATTAATAATTCACATACGGATTCTGAAAGTGAATTTAATTTTGATAATGATAATAATCAGGACAGTGAGCTTGATAACGAGTTTAACTTTATGAGAGAATTTGACGAAGATAATGAATCTGATCCACAATTGAATGATATTAATAATTCTATTTTTACAACAACCAGAAAAAGAAGTGTTACAGAAGAACTCGATAGTGTACCTAAAAAAAAGAAGAAATTGAAGAATGATTTATATAAGCAACCAACAGTTGAAGAATTAAATCAACTTAGAGAAACGGAAACTCTATTTCATTCAAATTTATTTAGACTTCAAATTGAAGAATTATTAGCTGAAGTTAAACTCAAAAATAAATATAAAAATCTATTCGATGCTTGGTTCATTAAATTTAAAGCTAACATTGAATCATTGCAAGAAACTGATGAATTAAAGGTACATCATTCAATAACTATCATTTTTTAATTATAAAATATATTTAACTATGTAATATTAAATAAAGATTTAACGATTTATTTATTTAAAAAAAAAAGTTTTCAGATGAAAATATATATAAAAAATTACATTTGAATATTCCTATATTGAATGTACCAGAAGATGCAAGAGGTACATTTAAATTTTTAAAACCATTATCTATTGTTATTATTGGTTCATATTCTTTCGATTGTACAGTGGGTACAAATACTGCTATAGATATAATGATTCAAATGCCAGGGAATTTATTCCAAAAACATGATTATCAAAATTACAGATATTTAAGAAAAAAGGCTATATATTTAACATATATAACTGCTAATATAGAAGATGATCTTGTTGATAAAAAATTATTTCTTGGCAGTAATTTAAAACCTATATTAAAAATAGTGCCACCTGGAATTTTAGGAAAAAAATTAAGTATACATATACATATATCTGCACATGAAAATACTTTCAAACTAAACAGATTTTTACCAGAAAAAAATTGTATAAGACCTAATTGGTTTTTCAAGGAAGAAGTTGAAAATGGTATGTTATTTATTTATTTTTTAAATTGAATTATTTGATACTTAATATAAATATATTTTATTTTATTTAGCACCTTTAACACCAACACCTCATTATAACTCCATAATCTTACATGATCTAACAATGCTAGAAACAAATTCTCACAACATTGAACTGATAAAGAAATACCCGAATATCAGAGATGGTATTATTTTACTAAAGATATGGTTAAGTCAACGACAATTAATGAAAAGTCATGACGGCTTTAGCAGTCATATAATAACAATGTATGTTTTATATTTGCTAAAAATAAAAAAACTCAACACATTTATGAGTAGTTATCAAATAGTAAGAAATGTATGGTGTACTTTAGGTAAGATATCACTTTACTTACTATTTTTTTTATGCATTACATTTGTGATATTGATATTTTTTATCGCAGTACAAAATGGTTGGTATGAAAATGGGATATCGATGTACCAAGGAGATGATAGTCAAAAGCATATTTCGGTTTATCATAAATATTATGATTGTATTTTTTTGGATCCAAGTGGATATCATAATTTAGCTGCCTTCGTATCAAGAGATACTTTTTGTTGGGTACAAAGAGAAGCAGAGATTTCTTTGCAACATTTGGATAATGTTAATGTTAATAGTTTTCCATCTATTTTTATGCAAAAGATTCCATTTTACAATGCATTTGATAATATATTATGGTAAGAATATCTACATTTGTAGTTAATAAGTAGTATATGAGTTATATATTTAATCAAATAATTTATTGTATGTTTAGTATTGAAGATGATGAAATCATAGAAAAAATTGTGGACAGTAACTCATCTAAAGATGATAAATTAGATTATGGTATTGATAAACGCAATCAAGCTATTAGTATATTTATGAAAGTATTAAAACAAGGCTTAGGAAATAGGGTTTGTAGAATATGTGTGTTACCTGAGGAACTAAGGCAATGGGAGTGTGAAAAAGAAATGTCAAATAATATTGGAAAAATATCCATTGGTATAGATTTAAATCCAGACTTTTGTTTTAATATTGTTGAGAAAGGTCCTGAAGCTAACTTACCAGAAGTACGTAGAACATATCAATTGTAAAATGTATTTTACAGAAAATGTATTTTATTTATGTTAATATAATTTTCTACGACAGGCAGCTTCGTTCCGAGAATTTTGGTGTAATAAATCAGAATTACGTCGTTTTCAAGATGGATCTATACGTGAAGCTGTAGTTTGGGATAAAGGGAAAACCTTGCATGGAAAGAGAATGATTTGTAAAAAAATTATAAAATTTTTATTGAAACATAAATTTAATTTAGCACCGAATCAATATTTATATCTTGCTAATCAAATGGAAGATATTTTACAATTAAACAAAGTAATATTTCTGGCATATATTTAAATATTAGAAGTTATAAAATGTTTATTACTCTGATTAAATATTTTCATATATTTCTTTCAGATAAAAATTACACATTTTGTATATGGTACTGGTGAAGAAGCAACTTTACGCGTGATAAAAGCATTTAATTCTTTAGAAAAAGATTTAATGTCTCTTGTTGATATACCTCTTTCAATAACTGGTGTACAAGGATCTAGCGCAGCTTTTCGTTATACAGAAGTTTTCCCACCCTTAGCAACTACTTATCGACCTTATCATAAAATAATTGAAGAGGGTGAAGATTACTTAATGCTTAAAGCAAAAAATATTAATAAGGTACCCAGATATGTTCATCCACTTGACATTAGTTTACAATTATCGACTAGTGGAAAATGGCCTGAAGAATTAGAAGCTATTAGAAAAACAAAGACTGCTTTTCATATTCAAATTGCTGAATGCCTTAGGAAACAGCACAATCTTAATGCACAAGGACATGTTACTCATATAGATGTATTTAAGGTAAAACTTATCACATATATTTTATCGTATAGAATTATTTCAACTTATGGTAGATTTAATAAAAATATTTATTTATTAGGATGGATTTGTCTTTCGATTGAGAGTAGCACATCAAAAAGAAATAGCTTTGTTGAAACACCAAGTCGATGAAGATGGTGTAGTTAAGTATAGAGATAATGAAGAATCTATTGAATTAGAAAAGAAATTATTTCTATTACCCAAATTAAGCAGCACGTTACATGGGTAAGTAAACAAGTAAAAAAAGATTTAGTTTAATACCAAGACTTCTTGTTAACTATTATATTAATTTTATTATTTATAATAGGATACACTCTCAACATCCTTCATTTGGAGCTGCTTGTTGCCTAACAAAACGTTGGTTATCTGCTCATTTGTTGGATGATTTTCATATGCCAACTATAGCGGTTGAATTAATTATAGCATCGATGTATTTAATGCCAGAACCATATAAGCATACACATATGCCACAGGTAGCATTTCTAAGAGTTTTAGAAATTTTTGCAAGGGAATATTGGAATACAGATCCTGTTATTGTAAATTTTAATGATGAAATGTCAAGTATGTATATAACATCTATATAAAAATATCGCGTTATTTAATAACTTTCTAAATGTGTTATATGTTTTTACAGAAGAAGAAATTATTGAAGTAGAAACGCTTTTCGGAACGTCACGTGATTCTTTACCACCTTTGTTTATTTCTACACCTTATGACCAAAAAGAATCTTTATGGACCAAAAAAGCACCATCCGTTTTAATTTTAAATCGTATATGTCTTCTAGCCCGAGAATCCTTAAAATTGTTTGAGCAACAATTCAACACTAGAACGATGCTAGATTGTAAAGCTCTTTTTAGATCACCTATCTCAGAATATGATTGTTTGATACATTTGAAACCACTTCTTAATCCTAGAAGATTGCAAGGAGTTGATCTGGATGAAAAATACCCAGTTATTGAGTGGCATCCATATAAACCACATTCATTACAAAAAATTCCTATCATAGACTTTGATCCTATTCAATGTTTTTTAAAAGAGTTAAGGGTTGGTATTATTAATATATCTTTTTATCAATGTGATTTGATATCAAACTAATATAATGTTTATGTTTATAGGATGGTTATAGTAAATTTGCTTTATTTTTTCACGATACATACGGTGGTATGGTAATAGGAGTTTTATTGAAACCTACTGCTCTAGAAGAAAAGGATTTTAAAGTATCGAACATGAATTGCCGAAAATTAAATAACGATGGCAAACTTGTATTAAATTCATCCACGATGATACAAGATTTTTATGTTCTTGGAAAAGATCTTGTAAGGGGTATTGAAGTTACCTCTAATAAATTATTTCTTACGTGAGATATTGAACAATTTATAAATAAATAAATACATTTTAAAATCATAATCTAAATATTTTTCTGTATACACATGTACGCTATATAAAAGTAAATATGAAAAATAAATATTTTTATTGTAGTAACAATATAACATTATTAAGAAATATGTATCTATGACTGATCGTTTATAAAAAATATATATGTTTTAACTTAAATATATATATATATATATATGTATATAACAAATATTATGTAGGTGATGGTGACGATGTTGGATAACGTAATCTATCGCGTTCCTCAAGTTGTGCTATTTCTGCATTATTTATAATTTGTGCAATTTGTAATTTGATTGCTATTTGTCTCTGAGGAGAAAGAGTCTTCAATGTTTGCGCATAACTTAAGAATAACAAATCCATTGCATCCATACATTTTTGTACTTTTGTCGTTTGTAAATATTCTATTGTCTCTTCGGGCATATTTAGATTTAAAGTCGGTTGCATCGAGCAATGCCTAGGAACTGACGTTTCTTCGTTATGATGAGAGTCATTAAAATATTGCACCATATCTTTGTGGGCAGCAGGTTCACTTTTGATCTTTGTATCTGTATCACTATCTGAGTGACTTCCTACATGAATTGAATCGATTCTAACCAAAAAAGAAATTTGATATTTTAATACGAAAGATTCTTCCCTAAAATTTTATTACAATATATATTATTTTACTTTTATCTAATATATATAATATGTTTCTATCTTTCGGGTTTCGAATGATCCCAATAAATCAACTAAATTTGTTTCTCTGTAAAATCAAAGTTTATATTCTAATTAATATTACTATTTACAATCCTTAAAACTTATAAACTACCTGTAAAATCAAAGAAACGACAATTAAAGTAGGTTATTCTTTTCTCTTTCACAACACTACTTGGATGTCACCCGTACGGTAATAGCAATTCCTAATATATTTGTCTTTAACGAACTATTATAAACTAAATACGTTATCGCTTCCTTGTTGTCTTATATACCGTCATAGAGGAGCGCAGATCCTACTTAGCACGGCAAATCTAAAGAGAATATATTCTCTTTACATATATATATGTTACAATTTTTTTTACGGAAAACAGATTGCACAATAAAAATACAAAACAATCTAATCATTCGTTTATAACTTTTACGTTATAAATGTAGTTACGTTATCAGTAGGGAATATATGTTAATATTAAAAACAAAATAAATGATAAATGTAATCGTTCAAAGAAAATTATCCCGTGAACTATTCGTGATCGCGAATTATTGTATTAGTCTTATCAATCACATTTTATAGTAGTGATCGATGTAAAAGAAAAAACAAACAAATAAATTTAATAAACGATAATTTCCAATCACAATCAGATATACTATCGATAAATTCTCCACTAATAAAATTGTGAATAAAAAGCAATGTACATTTGTTTAATTATTACTTACTGTCTAGTGGTTACGTATGGTTTTAAAAAATCCATTTGATTAGCCCAAGTCCATCTTCTGTATTTTTTGTTACTCTGGCCCATAGCATCTGATTGTGATCGTAAATATTTTCCATAACAGTCACGAAGGTGCCTCCATTTATTTTTTGCTACTGTTCCTGCAATGAAAAAAATGCCATTCAACTGATAATATATATAAATATTTAGTATTATTGATATGTACTCTTTATACGAATGATGTTCCGGCCTATAATGATTTAGTTTTAATCATTTTTAGGATTTCATTAAACTTTTTTTTATCATGACGCAGCGTTACTATTCAAATTCATATTCAAATAATTCGATCAATCGAATATTTATCGAATTCGGACGGAGAAAAGAAATTACTTTTGAATATCGAATAATCGATAATCGATATGCGAGTTATTCGATTTTTCGGACTGTGAACGATTGATGGCCCTATACGAATTCTCACCATCTTCCAAGTCCAATTGAATTGCTATTTCTTTCCACACCGTTGCTTTCTTATTAATATCCTTGTAATATTTGTTCTTCATATTATACAAGATTGGATAATTTTTCACAAGATCGATTAATCTTTCGGTCTCACACATTTTCACTTTGACTTGTCAAAATGTTATGCACCGTTCAGTGAGATCACACCTCATGATCAAGTCAAACTGTACCGACCGGATGCGGTAAATTGCTTTCGAGGCGTCGGTTTCTACCCGCATGCGGTCATCCGACCCCAGGGCCGTTCCCATAATGAAAAGAACCCACTAGAAAATGTCTGCGTTTGGCATATATTCTTTTTCTTTCATACATTTCATTCATTTATACATGATTCCTCATTTAACTTTATTTTTCTTTTTTAAACTCTTCTTTTACTATTAGTTCTAATACAATTTTTTTTTTTAGATAATTGTTTGCTAAATAAAATTTAAATCCCATCCATGAGTAATTTGTTATTGACTGATAATTTCTGCGATAAAGCATTTTTTACACACATATACGTACTTGATGTTATAAGCAAATTTAATTGGAGGCAGCATGTAATTTTGTATTATGTAATCTTTTTTTTTTTTAAATGTATGCTCCTACTTTTTAAATTACAAAAATAAAGAAAACATTGTTCCTTCCTCTTTATATACTTTTACGTTTATATTATGTTAATATATATATATATTTATTAGAACAAAGTTAAAAAGATATAAAAGATATATAAAAGTATGTAAGGATAATAGATCCTAGATATAAAAAAAGCTATCTTAACAAACGATCTTTAAGTAAATAAAAAAAAAAAATATATATATATATATATACATATATAAGTAATACTTTTTCAAAGGAAGTACTTCATTTATGATAAGTTCAGAAAATGTTATCTTGTACATAAACAGAAAGAAGATAAATTCTGTAGTCTATCATATCTAAAAAATCGTAAGATCTATACTTTAAAAAACAATTGTTTGATATCGAATTGATATATAAATCAAAGCAAACTTATGCAATACTACAATTGTAGATAGAGCTGAGGACAAGATGAAGTTGTTATTGAAAAATAGTGAGTACAGAATTCTATTCACATTTTAATTTGTAAAGTTATAGAACTATGACATATAATTTATTATTTTATTCCAGTAGTAGTACTTCTCTTCCTTTTTAATATCATATTGTTTCACAAATCTCAATGTGAAATAACAACTGTTGATCGTATTATAAGAGGTGCTAAAATTACAATCGAAGTTAGGGCAAATGTTGCAACTTTACGTATTTGTAGGAGTAAGTAAAGATATTATCACATTGTTGATTTTTCATAAAATTAAGTAAATTTGAAAAGAACTTTGTATTTTACATTATTTAGATTCTGTAGAGGATTCGTGCACACGTAATGTTATTCGTACTCAATCCTCTGATATCCTAAGGGGCCCACTTCTTATAGAATTGAATTGTGGTGTTGATAATATATGTCTTAAAAACGAAAATGTTATACACACGGTGATTAAACTACCTGTGAATAGTGATGTCATCACTGTGTCACGAATTGTTAAAGATCCTAATGCAAAGCTTATAGATTGTTATGAACTTGAAGATAATGTAGAATGGTTTGGAGGACCGCAATTACGTTATCAGCACTGGCCTATTCAACACATGTATTATGAAGAAGAACCATATCTACCAACGCATCCTGTAAATATGGCTGTAGCTGAACGTTACTGGCTCTCTGGCAAAGGAACATATATCTATGTGGATATGAAAGATCCATTGTTTCTTGATCAAAACAACTATATGGACAAATATCTTTGTCTTGTAGCAAAAAATAAAGGTCCTTATAGGCATAGAGAATCTATAACACTTAATTATGAAATTGGTGTATTTAATAATCCAAGAATAGCACACGAGTATGTAGTGAAGAATCATTTTGGTAAACCTACGGGTCGACCAAATGAGAGAATGGTTCAACATCCAATATGGTCCACTTGGGCCAGATATAAAGTTAATGTCAGTGAAAATGTCATTGACGAATTTGCAATTGAAATCGTTAAAAATGGCTTTAACAACAGTCAACTTGAAATTGATGACAATTGGGAGACTTGTTATGGTTCAGCTGAATTTGATAGATCTAAATTTCCTTTTATTACTCGACTTACGCAAAAATTAAAATATAGAGGTTTTAGAGTAACATTATGGATACATCCATTCATTAATAAAGGTTGTGAACCAGCTTATACCACTGCTCTAAAAAATTCATATTTTGTTAAAAGTACCACAGGAGAAGTTGATATGCAATGGTGGCAAGGTAAAATGATCTATCAAATATAAGAATATCATATGTATAAAAATACATATATGCATAAACAATATAAAAATTGGATTCTCTTAAATTTAAAGGTGCTGAAGCTGCAACAATAGACTTTACAAATCCAGAGGCTGTCAAATGGTGGGTTGCAAGATTAAAGATCATCGAAGACTATGGTATAGATAGTTTCAAATTTGATGCTGGTGAAGTGTCGTGGCTACCTCAAATACCATCTTTAAATGATTCATTGGATATGCAACCTGGAATTTTCACAAAAGATTATGTTACTGCCCTTGCTAAAAATTTTGATGACAATATAGAAGTTCGCGTTGGATGGAAAAGTCAAGATCTTCCTATATTTGTTAGAATGATTGATAAGGATTCTACATGGTCGTTTAATAATGGTTTACCTACTTTGATTACAACACTTTTGCAAATGAACTTGAATGGATACGTATTTGTTCTTCCTGACATGATAGGTGGTAATGGATATTTGAATGGTTTACTAAATGGCACTATATATCCACCAAAAGAGTTGTTCATTAGATGGTTGCAAGCTAATGTTTTTATGCCATCGTTACAATATTCTTTTGTACCATGGGATTTTGATAATGAAGTAATTATTTCTATTAATAATGGAATATATAATTAAATTTTAAATTCTAATATAATTTCTTATCTTTTTTGTATTTTAGACTGTTGCAATTTGTAAAAAGTATACAGACTTACATGCATCGATAACACCACTTATCATAGATGCTATGGATGAAAGTGTTAAAACTGGTGCTCCTTTAAATCCTCCTATTTGGTGGGTTGATCCAATTGATAAAACAGCTCATAAAATTAATGACGGTAAATTAATAATTAATATAAACTATTATAATTTACTTTATTAAAATTATATTGCAATAATAATTTCTATTAAATTTTTGTATAGAATATTTACTTGGAGAAAAAATTTTAATAGCACCAGTAATAGAAGAAGGTGCTATATCACGAGACATATATTTACCTAAAGGATTATGGAGAGATGCATCAAATAATATCTCTTATATTGGCCCAGGATGGATACGAAATTATGATGCACCTTTAGATAAACTTCCTTACTTCTATCGAGTTTGATAGATTTACACGAAATTTATTAAAATAGCTAAGCCAAATAACCTTGACAATATTATTCACAATAATTACATTTATAAGTATGTAAAATATATATTTAAAATAATCTAAAACATGACTAATGCTAATGTTTAGTATTAATTAATAGCAGACCCTACCATTTGATAAAAATATTTTTAAACGTTCATCAAAATATTCCTAATTTCCATGTTAAGTTTTACAATTATTGTGTCGTCATTAGTATAACTACCAGTTTTTAACAAAGAATTTCGCTCTTCGATAAGAGCTTGTAATCTTTCATCATATTCATCTGATTTATGTAAGACAGTTTTCATATTAGTTAGAAAATTTTTAGAAAATATCTTGCTTGTTGGTGAAAGCATCTGTTGATGCATTGGTTTCATTAAAGAATTAGGCTTAAATACATTTATTTCTTTTTGAATTTGTCCTAATAAAATTTGATCATTCGTTAAAGCTGTTGAATCTGTGCATAATATCTCTTCCAAACTATACATCGAAAAGAAAATATTAATGTTTATAAATAAACAATGACAATATAATATAGTTAAATTACTTCAACTCACCCTAAATTTTTTAACTCTTCTTTACTATTTTTAATTTGAATTTCAATCGTTTCTTGATATTCTCTTTTCATTCTGTGAATTTCACGTACTGCTTTACCCCACTCTTCCTTAAAAAATGTTTTATTACGTTGTGCATTATTATATTTTTCTTCAAGAGTTTTTAACTCTTGTAACAAAGTTGCTGTTTGATCTTGTGTCAGAGATCCTTTTTGATATGCTTCCAATTCTTCTACCTGCTTTGTGAGCATTTGTCGTAATTTTTCATTTTCTGCAGATAAAGGTTCAATTCTTGCTTCAAGAGAAGCATTTTTTTCTTCAAGAATATGTATCTACAAAATATTGATAGGAAACATTATAAAAAAAAATAAATATAATCACAATTAAAAAATACTATTATGTACTAACTTTTAATGCCGATTCTTCTTTTGTTACACGTAATGATTCTGTTAATTCTTGAACTTTAGTTTCATATCTCCATTGCAAATCTTCATTTGCCTTAATTAATCTAGCTTCTTTTTCGAGACTTTGTAATCTCCGTGTTCTTAAATCATCCGTTGCTTTATTTAGATTGTTAGCTAACATTTTACACTGCTCAACACTACACGCTAGTTTTAATTCTAAATTTTCTTTTTGCCTTTGCCATTCTTCGCTCAATAAATTTAAATGACGGTCTTCTTTTTTTTTTAACTGTGCATTACATAAAACAATGTATCAAATCTTCTTTGTGCTCGTTTTATAAATAACATATACATATATATTATAAAATAGAATACAGAATATAACATACCTTTACTCTAAATATTTCCTTTTGTCGTTCTTTCCATGTTTCTAACTCGTCGACTATTTTATAAGCTAAACTATCATCTATAATTGGTGGACCAAACTTTTGATCTAAATGAAAATATATATATAATATAGTTTATATATATAAAATAATAATTTATAAAAATTATATATATAAAATAATAATTTATAAAAATTAAAAATCAATAAAAGTTACAGGCATTACAGATAATCTCATACCAGAAACATTCTGATTCATTCTGTTGTATGGACCATGATCCTGCAAACTAAGTACAACATCCAATTCACCGACTTTAATTTTTTTGGAATTATACAAAGGCATTTCGTATTCGCACTTCCACTAAGTAAATAATACATGCTGTGTGTATTTATTATGTTAAATTAAATTACTTTGTTTTATTCTTTTTGTTATCATTTTAATACCTTGTTTTGATGAAATAATTGTTTTACATCAAGAGAAAACTGCGATATATAAGTTTTAAGATCACCACCCAAATTCCATATACTAATCTTAAGAGGACAAGAGAATAACAACTGTTTGATTTCATTTGTTGCAGATATAAAATGTAATTTGCAACCAATATCTTTAAATTTGACTTTCTCTCCTAAAAGAACTGAGATCTTAGGATCAACTGTGTACATCATTTCTGTTTTTGGATGATAAAATCTATAAAAATATATTTATTTATATTATTTATATTATAGACAAGAACATTTTTTAGGATAAGTTCTACCTGAATTCGATATTTTGTATTGCTGGTCCTGAAGATAATTTAATTCCAGCGAAGATTATATCCAAACAATAAAAATGATAAGCTTCGATATGATTTGGTAATTGAGATATCACTGGTATAGAATTTTCTTCCAAACAATTTGTTGAATACATACTTTTATAATCTTGATTAATTTTTTTACAAGTATATTTTTCAAAATCACCCGCAGGATTTCTGTGCATATCGATTTCAGTAAATTTCTGTGGAAGATGTTTTTTAAATAAAATATTAAAGTTATTCTCCCTTGTTTTTATATAGGCAAATATTATAAATAGATGTTAATAAATTAAAAATATAAGTGGTATTTTAAGAATATAAGCTATTAACTATAGATATGAAAAATTTAATTCAGTTACTTGATCGAAGGTGTTTTTATATTCTTCGTTATGTTTATTAATAGGTACAGGTTTCATATTATTTTCATTTGTGGACATTTGATTAATTTGATAATTATTTATATTTTCTTTTGATCCGATATACTGTAGTTTAATTTGTAAGTCTATATAAGATTGATTGTGTTCTGTATCAATAGGATGAACTATATGTTTGGGATTTAGATAACATCGTTCGTTTAGAATTGTTGTTTTGTCATTATTTAATTGAAAAAAATCAGAAATATTGCTTATCAATGGTTGCAAATTAACTTGCATTTGATTGATAATGTTATCTCTGTATTTTAAAGATATATTTAAATGTGGTTTGAATAGTAAGTAGTTTCTCAATGTGTCTAAAGAACTTCTAATTCTTATAACAATCTTTTCATTCAGAAGCCAAGTTTTTTCAGAATTTTTTATAAAAGATTGTAGTTTCACATCATTTTCAAATATACAGTACCAAATTGAAAGATTATCGTCCGGATCATTATGATTTGTATTTTTTGGCAATAATGTATTTAAATTTACTACAGAATTTGATATTATATTTAAAAGAAATATTTCATTACAAAGATTTAGAGGTCCCAATTGTATGAGACATTCTTCATGAATTAAAAATGGAGTTATAATAGTTTTAGAAGTAGGGAAATCTAATGGTTGTACATAATCCAACTAAAATGCATACATATTTAATAAAACAAAACTATGTTGCATTACTAAAATTTTACCTTCGTCAAAGAATTTGAGGTAACACATTCTCGGTCTTCAATGCTTAATGATAGTAATAATTCAGGTTTTTGTGTCTTAAAATTATTTTTTAATCCTAATAAAGTATGCCAGTTTGATTTTAACTCTAATTTTTTACTGTTAGATATAATTTGTGCAGATCTTATACTGAGAAGAATATATCCAATTTTTTCTTTATTGCTAAGATCCTTTAAAGCAAAACATTCTAATTTCAAAGGAGTTTGTCCGCATCTCATTCTATATATATAAAAACTTATAATAATTATTCTATTCACATAAAATAATATTTTCTCAAATATAGAAATCAATTTTATCATACGTACTTCCTTACAGAGATTTTGTCTGTTTCCCAAATTAAAACAGTCGCATATTGTGGATTTGAATTTGATTCAATAACATCAGATTTTAAAGAATGACTATTTAACGTTGCAATAAGAATTGTTGGCTGTGAAATTTGTTCAAAACCTTTTCCTATAGCATACGAACAATAAATGTAAAATTTTTTAACTTACAATTAAATTAAAGCAATTATAAAATAAATACCTTCTTTAATACTAAGTACAATTTGAAGATTAGAATTTCCCAATTCATCCATATTGTTATAAATTCGGATTAATCATGTATAAAAGAAAAATTGGAAATATTTAATGAATCCAATAAAAAATTTTCGGTTGAAACTAATTTGAGTTACGGAAGTTATACGGAAAGTAAATTATTAAAAAAAAAACCATAAATGTCATGCATCCAGTAAATAACCATCAATAAGAAAAAGTATTCATATTTTTTTAAACGATCAACCGTTTATATATGATAAAAAGTATAAAATTCATATTTTTCATGACATTTATTTGTAACACTTCACTTCCTGTCTAGTATTTATTGTTTACATTTCTACCTCTGCTGTTCAAATATTTTGGCGGCTTGCGTTTCAAGATTAATTCAAGATTTGAGAAAATGTTTCTAGTATAGTATGATTCTAATTGGTTCTTTATATAACACAAACTATCATTATTGGTCGTAAATACATTGTTATACGTGATAATAAATCGAAGATCTTATTAGGAAAATAAAACGTTTACTGATTTCTATGATTTTAATCAATATAAATTATGATAACAGCGATACTGAGATGTATAATCACATATTATTACATTTAATACGTAGAATAAAAATATAAGTTATAATGAGAAAACCAATTAAATAAAGCTGCGGTGATCGTTGATTGGTCGATTTCCTCCAACCTTATTGGTAATTATTAAAAGAGTTGGTAAAACGTATGGAAATTTAATGATATCATACAAAATAATGACCAATGAGCGACAGTCAATAAAGTGCACATGCGCAGCCATTTACTGACCCTGCCCCTTTAGTTGGTAACATTGACGGCCTCGTAACAAATTCTATCCGTCTCCTCGAGTTGAGCGCGAGAGACAGGAGAGTGCAAACCTGTCGGCGATCCTTTCGTTCGTGCATCCGACTGACTTTTCGGGTAGCGTGTGCGCGTTCGCGCAATTACCACAGCACGAGAGACTGTTGTGCTTGTGGGAAAACATATTACACGCTTTGCCATCAGTTGAAAAATAAAGGAGGGAAAGCGAAAGACTGGTAAGGAACGAAGAAAACAAAGAAAGAAGAAGAAAGAGAGAGCGAGTGAGGTACACGTTGGAAAGAACTCAACTGGCAGCACTCGAGCGTGTGCGTGTGTGTGTGTGCGCGCGCGCGCTCTGTGGGATAACTGCGATCGGCCGACTCTGGTGACACGAGCCCATGAACTCTTTCGCGAGTAACCGAAGAATTCCTCCTCCTTTTGCTCCCCTCCATTTTCCTTCCCGTACGTATAAACTTAGACGATTTCGCGCGTCTACGCGTCGTCTCTTTTCCTTTTCATTTTCGTCGAGTCGTCCACGTTTCTCCACTCTGGTTACATTTAAAGGGGAACTATACGTAACAAAAAAAAACGAGAGAGAAAGAGAGAGATTAAGGAAGATAGAATATAATCTTAAATCGTGTAAAAGTTGTGATTTCGCACGCGGCTTGACCGTTTCTGTAATGGAGGAACAGTCATCAGTGTGTGTTGTCGTCGCTATCGTGCGTAAGGAGGACGGTTGCCACGGCGATGATCGTCGGTGTGGCTGAAACTGGAGGGATTTTTTTTGTTCCTTTCGGATCAACGTGCTGCCTGGCCGGCCGGCCGGGTGACCAACAAGGACAGTGTGAAATTTTGATATGGGATCGTCCAGGGTCTTCGACTCGGCTCGGCCTCGCAACTATCTGTGACAACCACTGGCCGCTTTAAGTAGTGAGAGAGGAAGGAGATACGTAGTTAAGCTAGGTACTTACAGGAGCAGAACGGAGAGAGATAGAGAGTGCGTGTAAGTAGCAAAAGAGTGCAAGGCTGAAGAAAGAAGAAAGAACGAACGAACGAACGAACGAACGAGAGTGAGTGAGTGAGTGAGTGAGTGAGTGAGTGAGTGAGTGAGTGAGTGAGTGAGTGAGTCAGTGAGAGAGAGAGAGAGAGAGAGAGAGAGAGAGAGAGAGCGAGAGAGCGAACGAACGAACGAGGGAAAGAGAAAAAGAAAGAGATAGGACTTTGCGAAAGGGTGTGGGAGAGCGAGAAAGAGAGAGAGAGAAGGATAGATGTAGGAGGCGTGGATAAAAGAGGGAGAAAGAAAACGACATAGGTGGGTGCGCGCGCGCGAGCCTGCGGTTTGCAACGTTCTTGCGCGCTACGGCGCGCGCGTGTCTGTGTGTTCGTATTTTTTTGAGGTGGATGTCGAGTGCATTTGTTGTGTGCTTGTGTGTGGTTAGAGATAGGTGTCGAGACGAGAGAGCGTGTCAGCCGCGTGTCGTGCTTTACCTTGCCGTGTGCGGCCACTACCATATTTCAATGTTCGACGAAAGTGTGGAAGGATTTAGTCGGTGCTAAATTCGAAAAACGAAAGTGAGGTTAGGACGTCATGGGGATGGTCGATTTCAACGGAGTGAAGTTTTCGTCGTCGTCGTCGTCGTCGTCGGAAGAGGAGGAGGAGGGGGAAGAGGAGGAGGAATTGTCATCTTCCTTGTTTATTCTATTTTCGAAGAGTGACAGCGAAATTTTCTTTAGCAACGCACCACCGATTTAGTTTTTCTAGCTCGTATGGTGGTGTTTCTTCGCCTTTCTGTCGGGAAGTCGCGTCAGAGTTGGCGTCTTCGAGGGAAGAGAAAAGAAAGATAATGGAAATGTCCTTAATTAATGAAGTTGCTACGAGGAATATCGTCTTTACTGACAGTCTCCTGTGACGCGCGTGCAGGGAGAATCAAAAGATAGAGAGAGAGAGAGAGAGAGAGAGAGAGAGAGAGAGAAAGAAAA